GACGATTGTGTTCCCAGCAGGACGGGGTGTGTTTGTGAGTTGGGGTATTTACAAACATTTAACTATACATTCTATTATTATTTACTTCAAGCATTAATGTCAGGAAAATTATTTAATTATATGTATTTATAGGTTCATGACTTTATAATGCAATAATTTTCCTGTTGTGCTTCAACGGCCAAATCAATTCGTTTCTTTGACTGACCACCTTAACTACGGCTAATGTAACGAGTATCCTCACAAATCCTGGTGGGATTGTTTCTAGGCAGGTCGTATTGGTGGAGAAATCAGTTGCGGCACAGAAACCTCCACAATGGTAAAACAACACCAAGCAAAACTCAGTGGCTTCATATTCCATAGCAGTCTCGCTCAGCAGGTTGTTGGAACGTCCAGTCTCGCTCAGCAGGTTGTTGGAGCGTCCAATCTCGCTCAGCAGGTTGTTGGAACGTCCAGTCTCGCTCAGCAGGTTGTTTAAACGTCCAGTCTCGCTCAGCAGGTTGTTGGAACGTCCAGTCTCGCTCAGCAGGTTGTTTAAACTCCAGTCTCGCTCAGCAGGTTGTTGGAACGTCCAGTCTCGCTCAGCAGGTTGTTGGAACGTCCAGTCTCGCTCAGCAGGTTGTTTAAACGTCCAGTATCGCTCAGCAGGTTGTTGGAACGTCCAGTCTCGCTCAGTAGGTTGTTGGAACGTTCAGCATCGACAGCATTCTGACACTTGCGGAACGAGACCGAACACCTGTGGGTTTGTCATGGGTGCTGTCATGGCCGTGCCTTGCTGTGATACAGAGTCAGTTTTAAGAGGGGGGGGGGGGGGGGGGGGAGAAATATGCCGCTAAATCAAAATACAGTTCGAATTTTTGATCTGAAAGGGCGTGGCATTTCGAAGACTTTGCATCGTACTAAGAAGATCAATTTGAGTGATAAAAAATGTTGAAATGTTTCGTGTTTATTTTCTCACAGACGGAACATCACAAAGTGAAAGACCGATTACACAACATTGGCCGGACATCACAAAGTTAAAGATCGATTACACAACATTGGGCGGACACGGTTTCTGATCTTACTTTAAACCTGACACCACAGAGTGCTACCATATGTATCGCTGACATCACCCATCTTCCATCTTCTTCTACAAGACATCATGGTTTGTGCTCTCTTTCTTGGCGCCATGTTGGCATTGGCGAAACTAGGCCAAGGTCAGTCTTCTTTATTAAAAGTCTTTTAATTGTGGCAGGACACCAGAAGCCTTTATAAATTCGGTTTGATTAGGATGCAAATTAACAAAAGCCTGGCAACCAAGAGACGAGAAGTTGATAAAAAGCCGACGCAGACGGAAAATGATCGACGTATTCCTTACGTCCTCTTTGGGACGTAATTTTTTGTTATTTGAAGCCCCACTCTGGCTTTTGCCAGGGGCCGCAATATAGGCAGGCCATCAATATAGCCAATTGTCTGAACGCGGTTTCTGGGACCTCTCCACGGCGATCCTCATCCTCATGGTGGCACATTGTGTCATCGGGTGTTTATCGCTTGTGTGATGTTCTGGTGGGGTAGAAAGTCAGTCAGTCAGTCAGTCGGAAAATGGTCGATTCGGCTTCCCGCATTGTAGCCGCGCCGGTGGCCCGGGTAAAGGAGCTCCTGCGACTGCAACTACATGGCATAGCAGCGTGGCTTTCGGGCCGTCGAGCTACGGTAGACTGATTTATTTCATGGTGGCCTATACGTCATTCCGCCGCACTCGACCCTGTCACGTCTGATATAATCACGTTTTGTCCTCTGAAAACTCACGTGGTGACATCTCATATATGAAGTAAAATATATGTGACGTCTCATATGTCACTCCAGTCTATCATTATTATCTAGTCAATCTAATCTGCCACACTTTATCTATTAACGTCGTTCAGTCTCGTCTCATTCTGTCACATCACATCCAACCGCACTCATTCTGTCACATCACATCCCACCGCACTCATTCAGTCACATCACATCCAACCGCACTCATTCTGTCACATCACATCCCACCATACTCATTCTGTCACATCCCATCCCACCATACTCATTCTGTCACATCCCATCCCACCATACTCATTCTGTTACGTCACATCCCACCATACTCATTCTGTTACGTCACATCCCACCATACTCATTCTGTCACGTCCCATCCCACCATACTCATTCTGTTACGTCACATCCCACCATACTCATTCTGTCACGTCCCATCCCACTGCACTCATTCTGTCACGTCGCATCCCACCGCACTCATTATGTCTTATTACATCCCACCTCACCTAATTTTGTCACGTCCCATCCCACCACACCTTATTCTGTCACATCCCTGCCACCCCACCTTATTATGTCACGTCCCATGCCCACACATGTTTTTTGTCACGTCCCATCCCACCACACCTCATGTTATCACGTCCCATCCCACCACACCTCATTCTGTCACGTCCTATCCCACAACACTTTATTTTGTAACGCCCGATGCCGCCCCACCTCTTTCTGTCAGGTCGCATCTCGCCACACCTCATTATGTCAGCTCTCATCCCACCACACCTCATTCTGTCACGTCCCATCCCACAACACCTGATTCTTTCACATCCCGTGCCACCACACATCATTTTGTCACGCCTCATCCCACCACACCTCATTTTGTCACGCCTCATCCCACCACAACTTATTCTGTCCCGTCCCATCCCAATACACTTCAATTTGACACGTCCATGGCGTCAAACCTCATTTTGTCACGTCCCATCCCAATACACTTCAATTTGACACGTCCATGGCGCCAAACCTCATTCTGTCACGTCCCATCCCAATACACTTCAATTTGACACGTCCATGGCGCCAAACATGATTGTGTCACTTCTGCTGGCTTCAGGAGAGAAGATTTTCTGCTACTATAGCAGCTTCGCCTACAAGCGGCACGGGCTGGGCAACTTTCTACCTGAGGACATCGACCCCTACCTGTGCACACACATCATCTATGCCTTCGTAGACATCACACCTGACGGCAGGGACTTGGTGCCTTTTAACTACAATGACCAGGGACCAAAAGGTATGTGCTTATATATATATATTTTGTGGCTTATATATATATTATATATATTATATATATATATATATATATATATATATATATATATATATATATATATATATATTATATATATATATATATATATATGTGTGTGTGTGTGTGTTTGTGTGTAGCCGGGCGGATAGGGCCTGTTGAATAATTTTGGTTTGTCTGCACTCGCAAACTAAAATCTGGCAAGTTCGTGAGGATAAAAGGCCTGGTTCGGGGCGAGAAGGCCTCCTGGTATCTGTGCTCTCGGTTTTTGCTATGTCATTCGCCCAGTCAGTGAGGGTGGTAGTAGTAGGAATAGTTGTAGGAGTGGTGAAGATGGTGATGGTGCTCAAAGGCAGTTACTAAGCTGTTGTCGCTGTTGGCATTGTACAAGGAAGGTCTGTAGATCTGAGCGCTAATAATGAATCAACAATCTCATGTATGTTGTCTGTCTCATGTATGTTGTCTGGACTCATGTATGTTGTCTGTCTCATGTATGTTGTCTGTCTCATGTAGGTTGTCTGTCTCATGTATGTTGTCTGTCTCATGTATGTTGTCTGTCTCATGTATGTTGTTTGTCTCATGTATGTTGTCTGTCTCATGTATGTTGTCTGTCTCATGTATGTTGTCTGTCTCATGTATGTTGTCTGTCTCATGTATGTTGTCTGTCTCATGTATGTTGTCTGTCTCAGGTATGTTATCTGTCTCATGTATGTTGTCTGTCTCATGTATGTTGTCTGTCTCATGTATGTTGTCTGTCTCATGTATGTTGTCTGTCTCATGTATGTTGTCTGTCTCATGTATGTTGTCTGTAATTGCAGGACTTTATGCCAGGACCCTAGCCCTGAAAGACAAGAACCCCTCCTGAAGGTCCTACTTGCCGTCGGGGGGTGGCAGATTGGATCTGAACCTTTCATCCCCATGATCAAAAATGAGGACAACCGAGGAGCATTTATTGGAAACGTGATCTCCTATCTGAGGAAGTGAGTACACACAGACACACACACACACACAGACAGACACACAGACAGACACACAGACAGCATGCTCGCTCGTGCTTTTGTGTTTTTATTGGTATACATGTATGATGTATGATCATAACGTGTTTTATTGACAATATACAACTGCTGGTGGCTGTTTGGAAGGACCGAATGTAAGACTGGCCTGTGTGCCCAATTTGTAGCCCTTTGAAAAAAGGTTCGCTCCATCGTTCTGTCTGTCTGTCTGTCTGTGTCCATCCATCCATCCATCCATCCGTATTTCTGTTTATATATATATGGAGTAAGTGTTTGTGTGCGTGTGCGAGTGCGTGTTTCTGTGCGCACATATGTTTGTGTGTGTGTGTGTGTGTTTGTAGATAGACGGTAAAACTGAGTGAACAGGTATAGATATTCATAAACTGCTATGTTGATCCGTGAATGGGGAAAGGGGTAAATGAGGTCCATTAATTATGTCTACGACCGTCTTCAGAATAGAGAAGGTTGTGTTAATGTTCCCCTCCGTGTTTCCCCCAGGCACGGCTTTGACGGCTTCGACGTGGACTGGGAATTCCCGGCCACCAGGGGAAGTCCCCCTGAGGATAAATATAGATTTACACAGCTCATGAAGGTGAGTCTTGTCTGCTTGTATTACTTCTATACTTCTATGAACTAACAAAGGGGAGTGGTGGAGGGGTATTCTTATATTTTCTTTGAGAACGTTGTCTAGATATGACTTCATTACTTCTACTCCTGCTGCTGCTACTACTACTACGTCTACTGCTGCTGCTTGTGCTCCTGTTGCTACTGCTACTTCTACCACCGCTACTACTATCACCACCACTACCACCATTACTAACACCACCACCACTACTATCACCACCACTATCACTACTACTATCACTACTATCATCGCTACTAATACTACCATATTACCACAACTACCACTACTATCACTACTACTGCCACCACTACTATTGCTACCATCACTACTAATATCACTGCTACAACAGCTACCACAACCAACACTACCAACACAACAGCTACTACCACCATCACCACTACTACTACCACCCCTTTCACCAACACCACTACTGCTGTGCTGCGGCTTACTATACTACTAATACTACTACTACTACGACTACAACTAATGTAGCTTGCCAAAAACCTCCTGTACCCAATATGATCCCAGCTAATGTTGCTTACCAAATCTGATCTGGAGCATTTCCACACCCCCTCCCCCCCTTGTTTCTCTTTCTTCCAGGGGCTGCACGAGGCTTTCCTCCAAGAGTCGCAACACACCGGCAGAGAGAAGCTTCTGCTGACCCTCGCCACAGCCTCTGGAACCTTCTACATCGACCAGAGCTACGAGCCATATCAACTCATCAAGTACAACCTGTCCTTGTTTACACACAACCGTTTCGTCTACATACAACAACTGTTTCATCTACACACGACAACTGTTTCATGTACACACAACCGTTTCGTCTACATACAATAGTTGCTTTATCTACACACGACAACTGTTTCATCTACATACAACAACTGTTTCATGTACACACAACCGTTTCGTCTACATACAATAGTTGCTTTATCTACACACGACAACTGTTTCATCTACATACAACAACTGTTTCATGTACATACAACTGTTTCATGTACACACAACAACTGTATCGTGTACACACAACAACTGTTTCATGTACACACAACAAACAACAGCTGTTTCATGTACACATAACTGTTTCATTTACATAAAACTACTCTTCCATCTGCACTCAACAACTGTTTCATCTACATAAAACAATTGTTTTATCTTCACTCAACGACTGTTTCATCCACATACAACAATTGTTTCATCTACACAAAACAACTGTTTTATTTACACGCAACAACTGTTTCGTCTACACAGAAGAACTGTTTCATCTTCATACAACAACTGTTTCATCCACACACAACAGTTTTTTTCATCAAAACACAACAACGTTTCATCTATACACAACAACTGTTTCATCACATACAATAAGTGTTTCATCTACACACAATAAGTGTTTCATCTACACTCAACAAGCGTTTCATGTACACACCACAACTGTTTCATGTACACACAACTGTTTCATCTACACGCAATAACTGTTTCATCTACATTCAATAACTGTTTCATCGACACACAACAACGTTTCATCTACACACAACAACTGTTTCATCTACATACAATAAGTGTTTCATCTACACACAACAAGTGTTTCATGTACACACCACAACTGTTTCATGTACACATAACTGTTTTATCTACATACAACAACTGTTTCATCTACACGCAATAACTGTTTCATCTACATACAACAACTGTTTCATCGAAACACAACAACGTTTCATCTACACACAACAACGTTTCATGTACACACCACAACTGGTTCATGTACACATAACTGTTTCATCTACACGCAATAATTGTTTCATCTACATACAACAATTGTTTCATCTACACGCAACAACTGTTTTGTCCATACACAACAACTGTTTCCTCTACACACAACAAATGTTGCGTGCACACGTGTACTGTTTCACAATGGCGTATTCTTTTACTTGATTACCCATCATCATCAACATTTCGTACCTTAGCGTCGGCGATAATGAATTCTCCGTATCCTGAGATGACACTTTCTTTCTCTATTTATTTCTTTCTTTTTTTTTCTCTCTTTCTTTCTTTCTTTCTTTCTTTCTTTCTTTCTTTCTTTCTTTCTTTCTTTCTTTCTTTCTTTCTTTCTTTCTTTCTTTCTTTCTTTTTCTTTCTTTCTTTCTTCTTTTTCTTTCTTTCTTTCTTCTTTTTCTTTCTTTCTTTCTTTCTTTCTTTTTCTTTCTTTCTTTCTTTCTTTCTTTCTTTCTTTCTTTCTTTCTTTCTTTCTTTCTTTCTTTCTTTCTTTCCTTCTCTTTGTATTCTCCTAAATGTCCCGGTTACAGTCAGTTCAGTAATTGTTACAACCAATTGCATGTGAGGTGAATAACTGTGTCCCCTAACACCGAGCAGCGACAAAGGCTGGTTCTAAAAGATTAACAGTTGTACTTGCTCTATATCAGTCAGTTCCCCGCAGTAGATGCGAGTCAGTGACTTTTCCTTGTTCAATGATTTCCGTGCAGATACATCGACTTCATGTTTCTGATGACCTACAACTATCATGGTCAGTGGGAGAAGATCACTGGCCATCACAGTGGACTCCACCCGCACCACGATGACCCCACTACTGGGGAAAAGTCACAGTTGTACCAGGTATTTTGTTATTGTTGTTTTTGTTGCGTTTTGTTCCCTGTAAAGTAAGGCATCTTTTCCCACCTTCAGGTCCATAGGACTAGACCTATGAATTATAGACCAATGAGAACTCTGTATGTGAAGTGGTCAACATCACGCCGAGCGCCTTTACTTCCTTGGACTTTACCAAGTGCCCATTCAAGGCTGGGTCGACTTAATAGCCAGCCCGTCTCTCTAGCGTAGTTGGCTAAATCGGATTGTGACGAACTCCTTGTGGTCCGGGATCACTCCGGGGGTAGGCAGAAAAGCCACATTTCTCCTAGATTTACGGTATTTACAATGGAATCAAGGCCGAAAGGTTGTGATATCCATAATACCGAGACTAAGAGTTAACAACTCATGGCTACTGGATTCTAAAACAAACAAACAAACCTGATAGCCAAGATCATTTTTGAAGAAAGACTCCAGCTTCCTTTCGGATCTGAACCCACGACCTTGGGATCTGCAGACAGGCGTCTAGTCGCTACATCGCGTTGGCTCTCTCTTGTCCCTCTAGCAGCCAGTAAATGTCGTTTTGGGCCAAAGCGTGTTGTTCTTCACCTGCTTGTCCGTGTAGCCTCTAGATAATGTCACTGTGGTCGGAGACTTGTTGTTCTTCTCCTGCTTGTCCGTGTATCCTCTAGAGAATGTCACTGTGGTCGGAGACTTGTTGTTCTTCACCTGCTTGTCCGTGTAGCCTCTAGAGAACGTCACTGTGGTCGGAGACTTGTTGTTCTTCACCTGCTTGTCTGTGTAGCCTCTAGAGAATGTCACTGTGGTCGGAGACTTGTTGTTCTTCACCTGCTTGTCCGTGTAGCCTCTAGAGAATGTCACTGTGGTCGGAGACTTGTTGTTCTTCACCTGCTTGTCCGTGTAGCCTCTAGAGAATGTCACTGTGGTCGGAGACTTGTTGTTCTTCACCTGCTTGTCCGTGTAGCCTCTAGAGAATGTCACTGTAGTCGCAGACGTGTTGTTTTTTGTCATCTTGTTCCTCATGGGCATGGTCTGCAGCAAACCTAAGTGATCTCAACTCTCCTCTTTGTTATCTGATATTTTGTTATCTGATATTTTGTTCCTTGCTATTTTGTTATCTGATATTCTGTTACCTGATATTTTGTTATCTGATTTTCTGTTACCTAATATTTTGTTATCTGATAATTTAATTATTGGATATTTTATTTCTGATAATTTTGTTACTTACTGTTTTTGTTACCTGATATTTTTGTTATCTGATAATTGTGTTACCTCATATTTTATTATCTGATTTTTTGTAATCAGAGACAGCTACTAAAAGACTTGTGCCAGAATTGAATGGCTTAAGGTGTCCTAATGGAGAAAGATATAGAGGGACTTGATCTGTCCCAAAGATAGTGAACCACTTACTAAGGAACTTCAGTGACCGACTGGCCAAGACTAGGGACAGACTTAAGAAGTACCTTGCGTGATTTAAGGTGTCTCAAAAGAGCCAGATGTCCCCAAGATAAAAGACAGCTGAGTGACTTGAATAGTGCCAATGCTAATTAATGACTTACCAAGAGATATCACTGAACGAGTGACCTAATGTGTTTCAAAGGAGAAAGGCATCGACTTTTGTCCCAATAGCGAAAAATATTGGATGACTTACGACCTTTGAGTGATCCACCGTCACCAACATTATAATAATAGATGCACTTCTTTGCCCTAATTTAATTTTTATTCTTTATAAAGTCACAGCACCATATACTTCGGTAGCACTAGCACCCCTAAATCCCTCATGTAATTAGCTGACACACCAACTTAAATCCTCACTGAGCCACCGGCACCTAACACTCATATATGACACCCGCCATTTTGCAATAATTTGCTAGTTTCACTCTATATAAAATCATAGCACCATTGGCCTGAGATCCTGGCGACCCCTACCCTCTACGGCATTTTGTAGATGACCGCCTGTCGCCGCCTAGTTGTATACTATTATAACCAAAGCTCATTTTCTAGCAACCGACACCATAACAGACCATGCAGAGACATGACTGCCCTTGCCTGTCGGCATAGAACTTGATGCATTGATGACAATGCTGCTGCTGTTTGACTACAAAGAGCCCTAACTGACACCCACTATTATAATAGGTTTCGCGTATATTACTATGTAACATATATACTTTCTATTCCTGCCAGCAAGTCGATCAATACCCCTAATTTTCTTCATTCTACTACAAAACCCCTAAAACGGCCCCTGTATTGCCAACCTCTGCTCATCAAGGCCACTGAACCCTTGGATCCTCTGTTCTGTCTGCCCCATTACGAAGCCCCACCATAGCCACATCCGAACCGCCATGTGACCTCAAACCACCCGAGCCTCCCTTTGGCACACAGCTAACCTATGACCGAGCCTCACCCGAGTCGTCAGGTGACCTCTGACATGTTGCTGGGTTATGTATTATGTCTGCCTAATTTCTGTTTTCTGAATCACGCGTTATGTCTGTTCAATGTCTGTAATCTGAGTTATGGCTTATACCGTATCTTCTCTGCTTCTATGTTTGATGTTAATTCCAGCAATGGTCCATCGACTACTGGCTCCAAGTAGGCATGTCCAAGGACAGACTGGTGGTAGGCATACCTACCTATGGCATGTCCTTCACCCTGGCTGACGCAGCAGACAATGGGGTGCACGCCCCAGCAGCTGGGGGCGGCAAGATGGGCGACTACACACAGGAGACGGGCATCATGGCGTACTATGAGGTTGTATCAACTAATATTTTTGGTGCACTTTGATTGTTGTTGCCTGTGTGGTACACTTTGATTGTTGTTGCCTGTCTGATACACTTTGATTGTTGTTGCCTGTGTGGTACACTTTGATTGTTGTTGCCTGTCTGGTACACTTTGATTGTTGTTGCCTGTCTGGTACACTTTGATTGTTGTTGCCTGTCTGGTGGACTTTGATTGTTGTTGCCTGTCTGGTGCACTGTGATTGTTGTTGCCTGTCTGGTGCACTTTGATTTTTGTTGCCTGTGTGATGCACTGTGATTGTTGTTGCCTGTGGGTACACTGTGATTGTTGTTGCCTGTCTGGTGCACTTTGATTGTTGTTGCCTGTCTGGTGGACTGTGATTGTTGTTGCCTGTCTGGTGGACTTTGATTGTTGTTGCCTGTCTGGTACACTTTGATTGTTGTTGCCTGTCTGGTACACTTTGATTGTTGTTGCCTGTCTGGTGGACTTTGATTGTTGTTGCCTGTCTGGTGGACTTTGATTGTTGTTGCCTGTCTGGTGGACTTTGATTGTTGTTGCCTGTCTGGTGGACTTTGATTGTTGTTGCCTGTCTGGTGGACTTTGATTGTTGTTGCCTGTCTGGTACACTGTGATTGTTGTTGCCTGTCTGGTGGACTTTGATTGTTGTTGCCTGTCTGGTGGACTTTGATTGTTGTTGCCTGTCTGGTACACTTTGATTGTTGTTGCCTGTGTGGTGCACTGTGATTGTTGTTGCCTGTGTGGTACACTTTGATTGTTGTTGCCTGTCTGGTGCACTTTGATTGTTGTTGCCTGTCTGGTGGACTTTGATTGTTGTTGCCTGTCTGGTGGACTTTGATTGTTGTTGCCTGTCTGGTACACTTTGATTGTTGTTGCCTGTCTGGTACACTTTGATTGTTGTTGCCTGTGTGGTACACTGTGATTGTTGTTGCCTGTCTGATACACTTTGATTGTTGTTGCCTGTGTGGTACACTGTGATTGTTGTTGCCTGTCTGGTACACTTTGATTGTTGTTGCCTGTGTAGTACACTTTGATTGTTGTTGCCTGTGTGGTACACTTTGATTGTTGTTGCCTGTGTGGTACACTTTGATTGTTGTTGCCTGTGTGGTACACTTTGATTGTTGTTGCCTGTCTGGTACACTGTGATTGTTGTTGCCTGTGTGGTACACTTTGATTGTTGTTGCCTGTGTGGTACACTTTGATTGTTGTTGCCTGTCTGGTACACTTTGATTGTTGTTGCCTGTCTGGTACACTTTGATTGTTGTTGCCTGTCTGGTACACTGTGATTGTTGTTGTCTGTGTGGTACACTGTGATTGTTGTTGCCTGTCTGGTGGACTTTTATTGTTGTTGCCTGTCTGGTACACTTTTATTGTTGTTGCCTGTCTGGTGTGCTTTGATTGTTGTTGCCTGTCTTGTGTGCTTTGTTTGTTGTTGCCTGGTGTACTATGACTGTTGCCTGTTTAAAACACTTTGAATGTTGTTGCCTGTTTGGTGCACTTTGGTTGTTGCTGCGTTTGATGCACCTTGACTGCTGCTGCTTGTTTGGTGCACTTTGGTTGTTATGTCTGTTTTGTGACGTTTACATCCTGAAACAGAATAGGGATAAAAAGGCCAACCAGGTCAAGGACAGACACAGTCACGTGACAGTCGCTGTCATATTTCCCCGGGAGTTTAAACTGCATCTCGACATCCCTAAGCACAAACAGACCGAGATAATAGGATAAGATGAGATAAAGAGATGCTATTTGATAGGGTTATAAGATATGATAATGAGATGGGTAAGGTAAGATAATAAGATAAGATGCCATAAGATGTGATGATAAGATAAGGTGAGATGATAAGATGACATGAGGTGAGACGATGAGATGAAATGATAAGATTTGATAAGATGAGATAATAAGATGAGACTACAGAAAAAGGTAATGAGATGATACGACTAGGTAACAATATCAGATGATAAAATTGGGAGACGTTGAGACAATAATATGAAATGAGATGATAAATAGGATGATAAAATGAGATGGTAAGAGGAGGTGCAGAGATGAGCTGATGAGAATAGATTGTAAGATGAGATGAGATGAGATATTAATATGCAATAAGATGAGATAATAAGATAATAAGATAATAATATAAGATCTAGAGATGATATCCTAAGAAAAGATGATAGGATCAGATTAGATTATTATATGGCATTAGATTAGATGATGAGGCGATAAGATGAGAAAATAAGATTACATGCGGTGCGATGATAAGATCATAAGATGATAAGGTGATATGACGATATCAGAGGATAAGATGAGATGACGAGGTTAGATCATATGATGGCATATTTTAATATATAAGGAGATAAGATGATAAGGTGATGAGATATGATAACATGATGAAATGATGAGATAGTGAGATAGTAAGATGAAAGAGGTGATGAGACTAGATTAGGTGATAAGGTAAGATGAGATGACGACGCTTGAAAAGCGAAATCCCTGTTTGGGTGCGTAATAGTGCAACTCACACACATACACGGGCAGACACATACACGTACAGACAGGGCAGGGAAGACACCATACATCGACCTGCCTCACTAAGTCCGATCAGACACCTTGTGCTGTCTGCTCACATCTCATCCCTTCACACATTTAGGTGTGCCTCAACCTGCGAGACAAGGGCTGGAACTCTGTGTGGATCGAGGATCAGGCGGCCCCCTACGCTGTGGGCGGGGACCAGTGGGTGGGCTACGAGGATCAGAAGAGTGTGGCACTCAAGGTGAGTGCCCGTTTACATGTGTATTTACTGTGAGTGTGTGTAACATTTCTGAGCGTTAAAATTTACACATACATTTCATTTCATCTATTTACATGAGATTCACAACCTTCTCTGCTGTTTACATATATATTTACCTTCATATTTGTTGTCTGCTATTTACACGTGCATTTGTCTTCTGTTTACCCTCGTATTTGTTGTCTGCTCTTTACACACACATATTGTCGTCTACGATTTACACACATATATTTGTTGTCTGCTATTGATCTGATATCTCAGGTGTAACTTTCCATAATCGATCTGTTATCCAAGATGTAATTATCCTAAATCGATCTATTATCCAAGCTGTAACTCTTCTTAATCGATCTGCTATCCCACGTGTAACTGTCTACAGTCGATCTGTTATCCCAGGTGTAACTGTCTACAGTCGATCTGTTATCCCAGATGTAACATTCTACAGTAGATCTGTTATCCCAGGTGTAACTGTCCTCAGGCACACAACATCAAGTCGCAGGGCCTAGCTGGGGCCTTCGTCTGGTCAGTAGAGATGGACGACTTCCGGGGCACGTGTGGCCAGGGGCAGTACCCACTGCTGACCATCATACAGGACATTCTTGGAGGCGACTCCCACGTGAGTACATACAAGAAGACACTGCTACAGATGAATGCTCACTGTTGTTCACTGTATGTTTACTACCTATTGAGTGTGAGTTCGATTCTTGAGCATAAAAGGCAGTTGTATGTATGTTCTGTCTACAATATCTACTTTTCAAAGCACACAAATCTGTGTCGTATAATGAGGGGAATTGTTCAGATTGCAAGCAAGAATATTTAGTGTTCAATCAATAATTGAGAGTTCTTTTGCATTTGGGTCAGTTTGTAGGCGTGCGGGCTTTCTCTTTAACTAACAAAACAACATAGCCCTTTTCTTGACAGCTAGATTTGTAGGTGGTGGTGGTGGTGAAGGGGGAGGGAGGTGGACCATGTTCTATGCCCCGCTGCCCAGGAGGGGTCCTCTAGGGACAATGCTTGGGGATCAGGAGATGATCAAGTCTTCACACACCTGAGGCTACAAATGTCCCATCAAACTAATTAGTAACACTATTCAATGCCCGAAGAAGTCGAAAGTGTCGGCCGAAAGGCGCAAATATCGTAGCTATGCTGTAAACAGTCACAAAGCATTGACATCACAGAGCCGGATAATAACAAAAGAAACAAAAGAGCTTTTAGATAAACATAAGTACCAACACGGGACAACACAGGACAACACGGGACAACAGTTTACCCCACGGTCAGAACTGTGATACTCTTCCGGCAGCTGCACTATTTAATTACATGTCTTCAGGGATATCCTGTCTGTAGTTTGATGGCTCTGATTACATAAAGTGATTCCATGGAATGCTTTAGTACATTTCAGATCATCGACCAGAAGCTGCCGGTTATCCTGCCCAAGAAATAGCCCACAACGTGAAGCAGACGCAGCAGATCCAAGTCCTGCCAGAAAAAGTCAAACTGGACGTTGCCGAGAGCCCTGTGGTCAAAGGTGGCAGGCGCCGCTCATTCAGAGGTGCTGTACACGGTGTGGCTGCAGCAGCAGCGGCCGCCGAACCAGTTGCAATCGAACCAGCAACATTTGAACCAGCAACAGCCCAACTTGCTCCAGTGCAAACATCCGACCAGGGTTCTAGTTCTGAGGTGCCTCGCCAGTCGAATGATGCCCAGAAAGGGTCTTGGTGGTCGTGGTCGGTGCTAGCGGACCAGGGCAAGGAGTGGTGGCAAAGGACAAAGAGCCCGGGTACCTGGGCGCCCAACAAGGTCACATTAGCCGATGTCGCAAAAACAGAGTCCACAGAGAAACAACCAGAGGTCTACTTGACAGATGACAACAACGCAGGTACCAGCTTGTGTCATCAGTCTCACTGTCTTTTATATACAGTTTCTTTTATATTGTGCAGTTTTATACAGTGCTTTTGTATTGTTCAGTGCAGTTTTATACTGTGCTTTTGTATTGTTCAGTGCAATTTCCTCTATAAAGTCCCGTGCAGTGTCATTTATACTGTCCAACAGTTTCTGTTATAATGCCCACGACAATTTCTTCTATATACTCTAATAGTGTCTTTTATATTTCCCGCTTCAATTTTTTTTTTAAATAATGCCCCTATAGTTTCTTTTGTATAGTCCAGTACCGTTTCTTTTATATTGTCCCTACCAGTTTCTTCTATATAGCCCAGTACCGTTTTTTTATAATGCCCCAACAGTTTCTTCTATATAGTCTAGTACAGTGTTTTTTATAATGCCCCAACAGTTTTTTTCTATATAGCCCAGTACAGTGTCTTTTAGATTGCCCTCAGCAGTTTCTTCTATATAGTCCAGTACAGTTTCTTCTGTATAGCCCAGTGCAGTTTCTTTTATAATGCCCCTATAGTTTCTTCTATATAGTCCAGTACAGTTTCTTTTATATTGCCTCCAACATTTTCCTCTATATAGCCCAGTACAGTTTGTTCTATAATGTCCCTATAGTTTCTTCTATATAGTCCAGTACCGTTTCTTTTAGATTGCCCCTAAAAGTTTCTTCTATATAGTCCAGTTCAGTTTCTTTTATATTGCCCCCAACAGTAACCTTTATATAGCCCAACACAGTTTCTTTTACAATGTCCCTATAGTTTCTTCTATATAGTCCAGTCCAGTTTATTTTATAATGTCCCTATAGTTTCTTCTATATAGCCCAGTACAGTTTCTTTTATATTGCCCCCAACAGTTTCTTCTATATAGTCCAGTACAGTTTCTTTTATAATGCTTCCAACAGTTCCTTCTATATAGTCCAGTACCGTTTCTTGTATAATGTCCCCCAACAGTTTCTTCTATATAATCCAGTACCGTTTCTTTTTTAATGTCCCCAACAGTTTCTTCTATATAATCCAGTACCGTTTCTTTTTTAATGCCCTCCAACGGTTTCTTCTATATAATCCAGTACCGTTTCTTTTATAATGCCCCCAACAGTTTCTTCTATATAATCCAGTACCGTTTCTTTTATAATGTCCCCAACAGTTTCTTCTAAATAGTCCAGTACAGTTTCTTTTAGATTGCCCCCAACAGTTTATTTTTTATAGCCCAGTACAGTTTATTCTATAATGCTTCCAAGTTTCTTCTGTATAGACCAGTACCGTTTCTTTTATAATGTCCCCAACAGTTTCTTCTAAATAGTCCAGTACAGTTTCTTTTAGATTGCCCCCAACAGTTTATTTTTTATAGCCCAGTACAGTTTATTCTATAATGCTTCCAAGTTTCTTCTGTATAGACCAGTACCGTTTCTTTTATAATGCTTCCAAGTTTCTTCTACAAAGTCTCTTACAACATGCATTGTAGTTTACACTGTGTCTGCTCTTCGAGATATGGACTGGGATGTTGTATGAGCTATGGGGTATGAGATATCGGGTATGAGATATCGGGTATGAGATATCGGGTATGAGCTATGGGGTATGAGATATCGGGTATGAGCTATGGGGTATGAGATATCGGTTATGAGATGTGGGGCATGATATATTGCGCACAGTTTATCAGGCAGATATGAGAGATGGTGTAAGGAAAATGACATAGTGCACACAAGATATCTAGCATTGCATTTTAGAAATTATGTTTAGGACACCGGAAAAGGTAAATGATATCTGGAATCTGATGTGTGAGTGTGATCCAGCATGACGTGTGAGTGTGATCCAGCATGATGTGTGAGTGTGATCCAGCATGATGTGTGAGTGTGATCCAGCATGACGTGTGAGTGTGATCCAGCATGATGTGTGAGTGTGATCCAGCATGATGTGTGAGTGTGATCCAGCATGACGTGTGAGTGTGATCCAGCATGACGTGTGAGTGTGATCCAGCATGATGTGTGAGTGTGATCCAGCATGATGTGTGAGTGTGATCCAGCATGATGTGTGAGTGTGATCCAGCATGACGTGTGATGTGATCCAGCATGACGTGTGAGTGTGATCCAGCATGATGTGTGAGTGTGATCCAGCATGATGTGTGAGTGTGATCCAGCATGATGTGTGAGTGTGATCCAGCATGACGTGTGAGTGTGATCCAGCATGACGTGTGAGTGTGATCCAGCATGATGTGTGAGTGTGATCCAGCATGATGTGTGAGTGTGATCCAGCATGATGTGTGAGTGTGATCCAGCATGATGTGTGAGTGTGATCCAGCATGACGTGTGAGTGTGATCCAGCATGACGTGTGAGTGTGATCCAGCATGATGTGTGAGTTTGATCCAGCATGACGTATGTAGAGTTGTTTCTCTGTCAAATGTGAACAAACGCTTGTGGCCACAAATTTTGTCATTTAGTTTTTTTATACGCTGACACCAACAGTGTTTTTGTTATTAAAAACCCACTGAACACACACACATTTGTTTATCATTGCAACTATTATCTACCCTGACACGACGATGTTTTGCCTTGCAGAAGTCGCGGAAGGCAGCCTCTGTCGGGGTCTCGGCGTCGGGACATTCCCTGACCTTCATTCTTGTGAACGATTTATCATCTGCATGCCCGGAGACTGGATGGACCACTCCCCGCACATCATGAACTGTCCTGAGGGAACCAAGTTCGACCCTGACCTGAAGATTTGTAACTACGCATCAAGTGTCAACTGCGACAAATAATAGCTGGATACCGCCATCTTGCCTGTGTGTTCTTGGATGGTCAAGCGCCATGCCAATATATCAAATTTACATATATTTATATATTCTAGTATATGAGTCTGTCAACACACACGCGCGCGCACACAAGCAGACACACAACTACAGACTTGCGTAGATCTGCCTTTCTATCTACTTATTTCTGTTGACGTTCAGTTAGGCTTCTGGTCGGTGATTCTGGACAGATTTTTTAGCTTTGTGACAATATAAAATTTAACAAGTATTAAGGGAGGTAATTAATGGCATAAATTGTTTGGAAGGGGAAATAATTACTAATTGAAAGTGAAACAATCAAACATGAGAATAAACTTCACTTAACTGTCGTGTTTATGCAATAAAGGAAGTGTCAAACATTTGACTTATCAAGTTTCCAGTGTTTTATTTCATTGCATGTATTTTGTTAGAGACTCAATTCTCGCCATGAATGTCGAGTCAGAATGTTGATATAACTTATAATTGGTTGGTTGGTTGGTAGTTGTACCCCACTAGGGCCTCACTCAAGCGATATACAGTGCACAACACAATGTGCCGCTATGCGGATGAGGATCACCCGTGGAGAGGTCCCAGAAACTCTTTTCAGTCGTTAGGCCATATTTATGGCACGGCTTAATTCAGGGCCCCCGGCAGAAGCCAGGGTGGGGCTTCAAATGACAAAAAAAATTGCATCCCACGAGGGACAACTTTATACCTTATAACTGCTCGGTTGCCGGTTTTTTATGTTTAAGTTCCAGTCCCAAAATGGGATTTCTCATTATTTTAAAGCCCCATCACGGCTGTTGTTGGGGCCCTAATATAACCTAGCGGTTGTACGGGATTTCTGGGACTAGCGCCCTGGGGATCCTCATCCCAATGGTGTCATTTTGTGCCACTGGGTGTTGGTGACTCGTTGTATGGTCCTGGTGGGTTAAATCACATACGCATACATTTTCGTTAACGCCGCCCCACGCTGATGATAGCAATGAGAACACACATAAATGAAGATATTCCTTTGCAGGACATGCAACAAATATATGTATCTATAGATAAAGACGTCGGCTCTGTGGCTAAGTCGATGCGAACGCTTCGCTTCGTAATGCCGGGATGCCAGGTTCGATCCCAGCTGCTGGCAATGCGCCTTGCGTTGGTTTCGACAGTGGTATCAAGAAAGCCGACCGTCCAGTAAGCAATGGCGAACTATTGGATGTAAATTGCCTAGAGACACCACACAACAGCCAGGGGCTGTTGGGGTTGGTTCTGCAACGTCCTGTAAAGATAGATAAAGACAACGATAGCGAGGTTAGAACAGAGAAGACATGGACTGGAGGAAGGTAAACAAATAAAAGAGAAGGAATTAAATTGTGCGAAACAACCCAAACTGGCCAAGACTGACTAACGTATCTTATAATAGTGCAAACTGCGAACTTGTCACATCCGCAAACCAAAGACCCAAAGAGCACGCAAGACCATCAACCAACAACCTACAACCAACAACCAACAACCTACAACCAACAACCAACAACCAACAACCTACTTTGACGACCGTTAAACTAAACATCTCCTTGTGGGATGCCATTTTTTTTTAAGCCCTACCTTGGCTCTTGTTTATCTGAGGAACTTCAACAACACCGAATGCGAGGACTTCAAGAAAGGCAAAGACCTCAACACATTCTCTGGACAAGTTATCATATGAACAGTTACAAAACAAAGAATATAGTGATTTATGACCACGATTGATAGTTGCTATCTCACCTCTCCTATATTGTCTGTGATCACAAGAATTGTTATCGGTTATTTCCCTAACTATCTCACTATCTGTCTTAGCTGTGACTAAAGGAACTATCGGTTATTGGGCTACCAGTCTCACCTGTCCTCTACTGGCTGTGACCAGCGGAAACTATCGGTTACTGGGCTACCAGTCTCACCTGTCCTCTACTGGCTGTGACCAGCGAAACTATCGGTTACTGGGCTACCAGTCTCACCTGTCCTCTACTGGCTGTGACCAGCGAAACTATCGGTTACTGGGCTACCAGTCTCACCTGTCCTCTACTGGCTGTGGCCAGCGGAACTATCGGTTACTGGGCTACCAGTCTCACCTGTCCTAGGGCTGTGACCAGCGGAACTATCGGTTACTGGGCTACCAGTCTCACCTGTCCTCTACTGGCTGTGACCAGCGAAACTATCGGTTACTGGGCTACCAGTCTCACCTGTCCTCTACTGGCTGTGACCAGCGGAACTGTCGGTTACTGGGCTACCAGTCTCACCTGTCCTCTACTGGCTGTGACCAGCGGAACTATCGGTTACTGGGCAAACAGTCTCACTTTTTCTCAATTGGCTGGGACCAAAGGAATTTGTTAGTTACTGTTCCGGCATCACAGCAAACGAGCTTGGCCCATAATTGCTCAACCGCCTATACCAGTGATTCCAGTCACAAACTGAGTCAGATACGCTGCATACTTCAAGTGAATGCCGTAGCCATAAAAAGTGTCCTTAGCAAAACACACGGCGACGAAAACGGTCAACATAAGCCAAGTTCTCAACTGTCATCCATTTTCTGTCAATGTCGGAACCGGAAGACCAAAGGAATTGTATCGGTAATTGGGCTACCAGTCTCACATGTCCTCTACTGGCTGTGACTTGTGTAGGGTTATAAACACTTTAGGTCGTGAATGCAGGCACGCGACACGATTCCAAACGCTGGCATGCTCCTTTAAAGCACGGGTTTCCCAGTAGCGTACCTGGGGTATCGCAGATAGGGCGAATTCGCTTGGCGCCATTTGAAGGAAGGATAATAACAACAGAGAGGAGTGAGTAAAGCTACTAGAGTAACAAGCTAAGGGGGAATGTAACAAGCTAAGCAAGAATGTAACAAGCTGAGGAAGAATGTAACAAGCTGAGGAAGAATATAACAAGCTGAGAAAGAATGTAACAAGCTGAGGGAGAATGTAAAAAATGTGGAAACTGGGGACAGGTAGCTAGTTCTAAAATCAGGTAAATAATTCATTAAAGAGTAACAGATGACGATCATCTGATGACAAGTGTCCCGGTACCAACTGCCACCGAGAGGTAGGCTGAAGAAATATCTTGGGCACGGATCAAGGGGAAAGCCATACTGAACATGGAACAATGGCATCAAGAACAGCCTTAGAGAAATTAAGATCAACTTATACAAGAAAGAGCAGACATAGGATTTTTACTTCTCTCCTCAACACTACAGATCCTTACATTTCTGTTCAACCCTTGGATGAGGTAAGTGGTTGAGATGAAGAGAAGGTCACATAGATAATCCTCACATTTCTCCTCAACACTTGTATGAGGTAAGTGGAGGAAGAGGGGAGATGAAGAGAGGGTCATATAGAGGATTATTACATCTCTCCCCAACACTTGTATGAGGTAAGTGGAGGAAGAGGGGAGATGAAGAGAGGGTCATATAGAGGATTATTAATTCTCTCCCCAACACTTGTATGAGGTAAGTGGAGGAAGAGGGGAGATGAAGAGAGGGTCATATAGAGGATTATTACATCTCTCCTCAACACTTGTATGAGGTAAGTGGAGGAAGAGGGGAGATGAAGAAAAAGGTCATATAGAGGATTATTACATCTCTCCCCAACACTTTGATAAGGTCAGTGGAAAAAGAGGAGAAAAAAAAAAAAAAAAGAGAGAGACCGTTCCGTAGCGTTGTTAAAAAAAAATCGTCACGGCAACCAGCAATCCCAAAAGCCGGACCTTTAGGTTCATAACTGTGACTTAGTTATTTGCACTACATAAAATGTCTTACGCTTAGAATTAGAAGCCACCAAGTAGCCCTGAAAAGGACTCTTGCTGTGTTAATGCGATCAAAGAAGACTGACACAAAGGCTGCCCCCCCCCCACACACACACACTAGTAACGAATTCGTCTACCGGCGAGCCAGTGGGCGACCTGATCGCCGATAAGAAAAAAAGCAATACAGAAATGAATGTTAGTCGGGGTCGGGGTCACGTGGTCGGTGACAGTCAGCTCCCTCCTGCAGGAAGTGACGTCAGGCGGGCTACAATCCAATCATTGTGGTCGTGATCACGGCTTATGGAAGTGCTGACTTCGATCTTGTCGAGCTGCCGCCGGCACATCAATCTGGACTTTCTGTGGGAGAAAACCAACCATACTCACCTCAACACTGTATGTATATCTCCTCTTGTGTGGTTTCTTCGTCTGATCGTGTCAAATGTTGTTTTTATCTAGTTTTTTTTGGCATAATTGCCCATGAACGATGTGGGTAACGTTGAACCATCGTCAGCTTGTGTGTCCGCCATCTTGTGAAGGTTGTTGTTCGGTGTATCCAGCATTATTTTCAATGGTTATATCGGCTTTAAAACAGCTGCAAGCGGCTTTTAGTGACTAGATCTCTCCTTTAAATGTTAGCATGATTAAACAGTCGATTATTTTACACTGATGATCATTTAGGACTTCATACTTTCAGTTGCCCTAGTTTTGTGAATTTGAAAATCACCAGAAGTGGGGCGAGCCATGACGACATTGTTTTGGCCATTTGTTGTATTCTATTCTGCGAAGTAATTTCCCCAAGTTGTTGCTTAACTCTGACGACATAAGTAAAACGATTAGGAAAATTTAGCCACTGTTCCACTACAGTGGTACTATTGTGTGTTTTATGAGTCTGCATGAGTTTTTCCATGTAACTATATTAAACAATTAGTTATAAATTATAATAAATTATCATTGCGGGCGCATCTTCACTCATGCAAAACAGCCATCCATCCTTGGGCTGACAGTCAGTCACCACTGCCATTGCTCATTGCTCTTTTCTGTCTTACATAAGTAAAGTAAGCTGAGCGATAATTAGATGGGATTTTAAAATATCTACTTAAATAAAAAGTATAATATGCTGTGCTGGTAGTGAAGTAAAATTGCAAGTCATTTAGTATTAGTTTGAAATTGAGTATTATGTAACTCAAGTACTGTCGTGATGTATCACAGTAGACTTGCAGTAGAAACTGCTACCTGTACTAACAGGGGCAAAAATTATGGAAGGACAGTTATATTGAAATGATGGATGATTATAAATGGTGTTAAAGGTTGACAGATGTCACCCATACCATTGACCAAGCAAGGTACTTGGTAAAATTAAGCCACACAGTATGCAGCAGTTTTCAGCTCATAGGTCACCACAGATCTTTGCCTAGTCATGTAACAAGGCTAGGGTCAGTAGTTCTCCTTCAGGATTGTAGTCTGTAGGATTGATAACTCAGGGATGAGAATCGGCCAGCTACAAGTGATGCTTAGCAAAAAAAAATCAACATTTAAAAGCATAAGCTCAAAATTTTATCATGGAAAAAAAAGCTGATTGAATTGGCTTCTGATGTCAGTCTTGTGTCCAGACGCTCTTTGTGTTCACTGATGAAATTCAAGGGACCATGTGCATCTCTGGACCTCTACATGTTGCTGAAACAGCAATAAAACTAGATCCATTGGCTTGTAAAAGGCAGTTAATTCAACCATGTGTAGAGAATCAGCCAGCTACAAGTGATACATCACAAATCAACATTTACAAGCGTAAACTCAAAACTTTTATATCATGGAAAAAAAAAAGGCTGAGTTGGCTTCTGATGTCAAGTCTTGTGTCCGGACATCTCATGTTCACAGATAAAAAGTTTTGGTTCTTAGTCCACCTCTGGTCTTTAGTCTTGTTCCAGAACCTGAGTGTTAGATTGTTGGTTACTTGCCTGTTGGGCAGATGCACACTGACTTGAAAGGAAGCCTTCAGCTAGTTGACTCTGACAACACACTTGTTGGGGAGATGGTGGGTCCATTCATGTTTTCACTGGCATAAAAATGGCATTGAGCTATTTATCAACACAGGTTTGGCACATGGAGTTATCAGTAATAATATCAGGACTATTGTCACTATCTGGCTGAGATTCAACAACCACAGAGCAGTATGAACACTTCTAGACCGTTTCCTTTTTCATTTTATACAGAAAAATCACGTACAAATTGTATAGCATCCAATTTTTTTTAAATCAAGAGAGTGATGCAAACACCATGCCGACTTATAAAAGAACTTCCTGTTACTAATCCTAGTTTTCCAAAACAGTTCATACAAATTCAGTTTTTCCGCACAACTACAAAAATTACAATAATTAGAATATCTCTAAAGCGCCAGTATGGTCAATAATCTGATTGAGATAAATTTAAACGCCAGTTAACTGGCGATTGGTCTACAAAGAGTTAATGTCCAAATTAAATGTATATCCTTTACAGGGCCTCACTGAACTAATACCAGCATCTATCTTTCTGTGTTTTTAAGGCAGTGTTACATTTGTGGCTTAATAGCCAGGGCTAGAATAATTGGACAGGTCGTGAAGGCCCAGGAGCAGTATTTGGTTCTGTGTTAAGATTTGCTCATGCTACAGTAGTATATCAAAGCCCCTGTTTATGCTGGTACTGTCTACATGTAACTTTGATCTATGTGTCTGTGTCTGCACTATGTATTGTTGTTGAAATCTGTCAGCCAACACATAGAATCTCATTGTGACCATTTTTTAAATTCTTCAGATGCCACGTGTACGACGGAAACGATCATATAGCAATGAGAGTGAATATCGAGAGGATGACTTTAAACGTCACAAGAGGCATCATGATAACCAGATCGGTTATTTTGACAGTCCACATCACAGATCAAGAAGGTAATGATTGCTGTCTGCATATTGTCTAGTGAACATTGCTGTGCTCAGGTCTAGAACTTCACGTCAGTTGTTAGCCACTCTTCTACTCCATGTACCTGTTGCTTTGTCTATATTACTAGTTATCATTTGCAGACTTTGTTGCCTGAGGTTTTCGTGTGCACACATCTGTATTATATGTGCAGACCAGCAGCCTAGCACACTCACATATACCAGTAACCTGTGGAGGTGCTTGCTGACATGTCCCATCCTGTGAATTGTCTACAAGAAATCTCCACTGAATTTCCCTCCCAGATACATCTGTAGTCTTCAGGCTGTGCGGTGGGTGAGAAGATAGGCGACTGGTTAGAGCATTGTGCTGTGTGATTGAAAACTTAACAGATACATAGAGGTGTGTTCTTTTGATGTAAATGCATACACTTGCTCTGGTATACAAGGGACATTCAGAAAGTTATTCTGACACTTTTTTGCAGGACTGGGCAACATTTGAAATTCATCACAATATGTCGTACCCTTTACACATCATATGTTTCTATATATCTTCTGTCCACTTCATGACCTGCAAAAGATGAGCAAGCATTCCTTGCCTGTACAGGATTTTGTCAAGTTCACATGACAGTTTTCTTCTCAGATTTGTGAACACAGTGGTTAACAGTACCTATTGACTGAACACCTTCCACACTTTACTCATCTTTGGACATCCACCAGTTTCATTTGCTGTATCCGGACATTCTGTGGTAATTTACTGTTTGTAACACACATGTTCCTAGTGTGTCAGCAGTCTACTGTTTTTGTTTGCAGCAATGACAGGCGGGCACGAAACAGGCGACATTATGAAGAAAACCTACATTCACCATGCTACAACACTAGCAGCGGAACAACTGTCACGGGCAACCAGCAGCATCGAGACCACTACCGCCACAACACAGAGTCAACAGTCAACACAGAGTCCAGCACCCAGCACAGGCACTCAGGGAGTAGGCGACGCCACAGGCGACGACGCCACCACCGCCACACTTATTCTTCCAAGCGGGTGAGTTATCACTGTCAGTGTGTGTGTGGGTGCTGACTGCACTCTTTGTGGCATGCCCTGTGTCCCAGTTTGTCCCATGTCTACAGCTCCCATCAGTTCCTCTGTCTAGTGTAGGCCATGCTGGGTGTGAAGCATTTGTGTGTAACCTTGGGCAGCTTCCTAGCTCTTAGAGCAAGGTTGAGCACTCTAGGAGGCTTCTGGAGTTTGTGTCAAAGGTGATGACTGGTAATCTTTACCACTGACTAGTTAATGTTCTCATGGTTATTGTTATCCAGCATTTATTGTTTTCATAAACATGGGTGGATTCTTGGGCAACATCCCCAAGTTGGTGATAACAGAGCGCCATAAACCCCTACAGTAGAGAACATCTTTGATCTAGTCTCCTGGCATGGCTAGTTACCACATGTTGTGGTTCCAGTCTGTCAGTGACTGACCTCATATACAGCATGGATTGTAGTTAGTAGCACAGATGTCATCTTGAAGCTTCTCAGCCCGAGCCATTATTCTCATACTAGAACTTCAAGTGACCAGTTTTTACCATTACCAGTGGATGCTTTCTTGTAGGCTAGTTTTGCTTGACAAGCTGCTGTATTATTTGAGTTTGTAGGTGTGTACAGTCGTGTACTCTTTCCTTGCTGACCACATGGTCTTCCATTGTGTTTGCAAGTGGATCTCTAGCTGCGTGGGTGGGGATTGTCTTTGTGCATAAGTGGAACTTCTAGCTGTGGTATAGGTGGTTCACATGTATAAGGTATAGTTCACATTTAGGTGTAGTCCATGTAGCCGTATGAGTGCCTCACCAGCTATAGACCATTCTCTTGGGTACCTGCAACTGTAAATTGGTATACGTCACTGAGTCTCTCTCCCCCACCTACCTGGCTGTCTCCCTGCTCCTCTAGGATTTGTTATTGAAGGTTTGTTTCAGGTGAATGGAAAGTGGGGTGAGTATACAACAATGTATTCATGGTATCCACTGACTTGTTGGCTATTTTACTTGCTGTAGCTTATATAGTCTGATACATTTTGTGTAGATTTAATCTAGGGTTGGCTGACTATACTGTCACACCCACACTAACTACAGATTGCAACATATTTCCAGCCAGAGAAACATGCAGATTACACTTAGTTGATGTTTTTTGTAATGACCATCTCCAGTCACATGAAAGGCACTTGGCTGGGTACACAGTGATGGCAGGCAGGCTGGGGGCTGGCATGTTTGTTAGCAAGCTTCAGTAACTTTGTTGGCAAGCTCTGTCTGTGTGAGTGTCTCCTGGGGCCATTGTTAGGTCTGGTGTGAGGGAATGAATTCCATTATCAGTTTCCTAGTGTTTGTTAAATAATAGAATACTTGGGGAGGATAAGGTCTGGAATATCACAGAATGGCCAGTCACATCAAGGGAGGCTATACATAGACACTACCAGCAGCTGATAATTGTGGTCTGAAAGTGCTGGCAGTTACAGGTGAAGCTAATGTCTCAAGTTCCAGCCTTCATCTTTTTGATGGTAGAACTGTCTACAGCAGGTTGTATTTAGTGAGAATATCTCCCTTGATGTGTCTGTACATTGTGGATAAGTCAGCAGTACTAGCAGGCAGTGCGAGTCTTTATGGGCGTCAGGTTATATATATATATATATGGTAGTCTGTTAATGGTCGGCTGTGGGGACCTAGTTTTATTATGGGTCCCGTTTTACATTCTGGCTAAGCTCTGACAGTTTTTACACGTTTTATATGTGGCGTTTACACTGTTAAAAAAGGCAAGATGATGGACTTGTGCTGGAGCTGATTTCATTTGGCTCGCCCGCGTACAAAACAATAACACGGTCGCTTGCAGCCACGGCTTCCACACAAAAATCAGTTGCCAGGAAACATGGAATCCATACAGGTCAGTGGGTGGGCTGGTTCACGTAGAGTTGGGTCGGGAAGCCATCTGATATTGTCCTGGTGTTATTGTATGTCGCTGTACTCATAGTGGGGCGTTTTTAGAATTAATAACCCAAGGTGCTTCAGCCTTGTTTATGTGTAGACAATGATAATGGTGTGCTGAATGATCAATAGATACATGTAGAATGGAAATGACGTTTTTATACATGTTTACAGTGAAAGTCTGTATGCTCTGTAATTCGGGGGGGGGGGGGGGGGGGGGGGTGCGCGCGCGCGCGCGTGCGTCTTGTGTACACTGTTACTGGCAAGTCTGGCACACCTCTAATATCTGTTGTCTTCAAGTGTTCAGATGGCTTGGGAGTGGGGGGGGGGGGGGCGGCGGCGCGTGCGTCTTGTGTACACTTACTGGCAAGTCTGGCACACCTCTAATATCTGCTCTGTCTTCAAGTGTTCAGATGGCTTGGGAGTGGGGGGGGGGGTGCGCGCACGTGCGTCTTGTGTACAGTTACTGGCAAGTCTGGCACACCTCTAATATCTTCAAGTGTTCAGATGGCTTGGGAGTGGGGGGGGGCAGTGAGGAAAGGTTGGCTGGGGTTTGGTCGGTTCTGGGGATATATTGTTGTGTGAAAGTCCCGCTAGCTCTGGCGTGTGTGTCAGACCTGCTTGGAGTAGGAGGATGATGCCAGTGCACAAGTTTGTTGCATCCAGTAGCTACCTCAAGCGTGTTGATTGTGCTGTTGCCATTAGACTTGTGGGTCATCTTGGTTGAACTTCGACAGGATCTTTTGTTGTTTTGGTTTTAATAGTTGCTATTTCCGCTCAGCAGTTTGTCTTCTGAGTATCACACTTATGTAGAGTATATGGCCATTTTCTGCTTGTTGGTGCATCATTGGTGCACAAAATAAACGATCGTAATGTCATACTTCAGCAGCGTTGTTTGGGGGAGGGGTGTGGTCGTGCAAAGGAAGGAACTGGTCTTTTAAGATTGAAGAGCAGCAGATTTTGCCCCTAGCTGGCTGTTGTTTATTCTGTGACTGCCGTCTTCTTACCCCAGTGTTAATGAACACTACCACCCCCTCTCCTTCCCGATGAGGAATGTTTAATGTGAGTCACACTTCTGGTAGTAACACCTGTGTGTGGGGGGGCCAGTTTTCTATTGTTCGGTTGATGGTGCATTCTCATATCTGTACTCAAGCAGATTGTAACAGCTGGGCAGGCTTGTCGCTGTAGACAGTGGCCAGCTCAGCATCAATCAGTTCTTGTGTGTGAAAGCCGGGCACTGGCACAGCTGTATAGTGTGATTGTGCTGTGAAGGCAGAGCTGTACTGTGGTATTACTTCTTGCACTGACAGACCTACGTGACAGCTGTAGGCGTCACATGCACGCTTGCTGCCCAGGCGCACACTTGGGGGAAGTGCTTGCTTCCGTAGTCGTTGGCTTCAAATATCCCCTGCTGCTCACGCACTGACATGCCTTAAGTGCAAAACTCTAGGTCCACCAGCCGGGAGTGTACAGTGCCTGCCATCAGTATACAGTGTGTTCTGTCAGTACATAAGATTGTTGATTTCACCACCTTCATGATGCTGGTGTATTTAAATGTCTGCTGGAGGCTGACTGAGACTTTAGATGCTGCAGATTTTAGTGACTGATCCTTAGATATTCACCACCTCAAGTGAATACTGGCCATTGTTGTCACTAGCTGTCATTTGTTAGTTTTTCTGTGCCAGGGAAAGCTGATTAATAGAATTGGAGTAACAACAGAGACTGTTGTTATAAGTGTGTGAGCTGGATTCTCTGTGTGCGGCCCTCAGTCTTTTAGATAGGATTAGATAGGGCTGAGATGTTAATTCTGTGAGGTAGATGATGAGTGGACCAACCAAGACTTGAAGATTCTAACATGGTTGCTGGCCAGGTGGTATTACTTGTCTGTCTGTCTGTGCGTGTATAAATACTGCTTGTATAAGTCACTGTGACACATGTGGGCTAGGAGATATGTGGGTAGATACAGCAGCTGTGGGCCACACAACACTGGTGTATTTGCACTTCTTGGACTGCTTGTTCCTCACATGAGTTGCTGTCAGTACTAATTACCAGCACCATCAATGGATGCTGTTGTTGTTAACTGTAGCTGTCAGTACTACCAGCACCATCAATGGATGTTGTTGTTAACTGTAGCTGTCAGTACTGACTACCAGCACCATCAATGGTTGTTGTTAACTGTAGCTGTCAGTACTAACTACCAGCACCAATAGTGGATGTTGTTGTTAACTGTAGCTGTCAGTACTACCAGCACCATCAATGGATGTTGTTAACTGTAGCTGTCAGTACTGACTACCAGCACCATCAATGGATGTTGTTAACTGTAGCTGTCAGTACTACCAGCACCAACAGTGGATGTTGTTAACTGTAGCTGTCAGTACTACCAGCACCATCAATGGATGTTGTTAACTGTAGCTGTCAGTACTGACTACCAGCACCATCAATGGATGTTAACCGTAGCTGTCAGTACTACCAGCACCATCAGTGGATGTTGACGTTAACTGTAGCTGTCAGTACTACCAGCACCATCAATGGATGTTGATGTTAACTGTAGCTGTCAGTACTACCAGCACCATCAATGGATGTTGATGTTAACTGTAGCTGTCAGTACTACCAGCACCATCAGTGGATGTTGATGTTAACTGTAGCTGTCAGTACTACCAGCACCATCAGTGGATGTTGTTGTTAACTGTAGCTGTCAGTACTGACTACCAGCCCCATCAGTGGATGTTGTTAACTGTAGCTGTCAGTACTAACTACCAGCACCATCAATGGATGTTGTTAACTGTAGCTGTCAGTACTAACTACCAGCACCATCAGTGGATGTTGTTAACTGTAGCTGTCAGTACTGACTACCAGCACCATCAATGGATGTTGTTAACTGTAGCTGTCAGTACTGACTACCAGCACCATCAATGGATGTTAACCGTAGCTGTCAGTACTACCAGCACCATCAGTGGATGTTGACGTTAACTGTAGCTGTCAGTACTACCAGCACCATCAGTGGATGTTGACGTTAACTGTAGCTGTCAGTACTACCAGCACCATCAGTGGATGTTGACGTTAACTGTAGCTGTCAGTACTACCAGCACCATCAGTGGATGTTGATGTAACTGTAGCTGTCAGTACTACCAGCACCATCAATGGATGTTGTTAACTGTAGCTGTCAGTACTGACTACCAGCACCATCAATGGATGTTGTTGTTAACTGTAGCTGTCAGTACTACCAGCACCATCAATGGATGTTGTTGTTAACTGTAGCTGTCAGTACTGACTACCAGCACCATCAATGGATGTTGTTAACTGTAGCTGTCAGTACTAACTACCAGCACCAACAGTGGATGTTGTTGTTAACTGTAGCTGTCAGTACTGACTACCAGCACCATCAATGGATGTTAACCGTAGCTGTCAGTACTACCAGCACCATCAGTGGATGTTGTTGTTAACTGTAGCTGTCAGTACTACCAGCACCATCAGTGGATGTTGATGTAACTGTAGCTGTCAGTACTACCAGCACCATCAATGGATGTTGATGTAACTGTAGCTGTCAGTACTACCAGCACCATCAATGGTTGTTGTTAACTGTAGCTGTCAGTACTACCAGCACCATCAATGGATGTTGTTGTTAACCGTAGCTGTCAGTACTACCAGCACCATCAGTGGATGTTGTTGTTAACTGTAGCTGTCAGTACTACCAGCACCATCAATGGATGTTGTTGTTAACCGTAGCTGTCAGTATTACCAGCACCATCAATGGATGTTGATGTAACTGTATCTGTCAGTACTACCAGCACCATCAGTGGATGTTGTTGTTAACTGTAGCTGTCAGTGAACAACCAAAACTCTCCGCTGGAATTGACAGCCGATAAATGTGCTGTATTATTATTCTGGGTCCACATTGACATCCAGAGGTTAGGACACGCTGCCAACTAGCTAGATTGTTTGTTTGAGACCCTGGTGTGCCTCACAGAACTGCTGCCAACATCATTATCTGATATTATGGTTTGTTGGGCTGTGCGCTCTGGCTTCACCTGCATCTTTACTGACTGTTGTGTGTGTGTGTGTATATATACAGCCATGGACTTGCCAGCCATCATGTTTACCTGTATCTGTGCTAATCACAGGTTATCCTCCTCTTCCCTTTCTCCCCATCCCTCGCCTTCACTTCTTCCTCACATCCTCCTTGTTTATGAAAGATGCGATCAATCATCCCATCTAATATACTGCAGCATCAGCGAGTTGGCTGACCAGTTTCTTTCCCTGCCACCTGTATTTGAGCTTGGCGGTGATTCTGTCAGTCGCACCTTCTGGCTGTTTTAGTCTGAACATTGTGTGTGATCCTCAAGCTGACCCAATAAACCGTGTCTGAGCCCCAGCCTTCCACTCACTGAGATGGTACCAGTTGTGTAGTTAGTGGTTCTCTGCCTAACTGGTGGGGTGAGCACTTGAGCCTACTTGAGACTGACTGACACACACATCAGCCTGGCCTGTAGGCCGTGTTGATGTTGATTACAGTGATGTGTTTGAGACAGTATCATTGTTGTCTGTACATACAGCTACACTGGTTGAGCTTCTTTCGAAAACCAAGGTCAGCAGGAAATCATGTACTCCGCAGGGAAATGTGGGCATGGTCTATATTATAACAGTCATTAAGTAAAAAGGGCAGAAATATGAACAGGTTAAATAATCAATTAAAAAAAGAGTTAAATAAAACTTTGTTGAATACTAATTCCCAGAATTGAGAACGCCAATGCCGATTCCAACTGTTTCTAAGGAATAGACATTTTCTTAGCATTGGCCACTGGTTTGATCACAGGAGCAAGATTTAACAGCAATAACTGATATATCGCTTTTGCCTTAGTGATTGGAACTATTATAATGGAGGGAGATTGGTTTCAGAACTTAATTATGGGTATCTACAAGATGTTTACCGCTTCCTGTCGGCGCCCCCAATATGTCTTTAAAAATTTTGTGCAGTTTGTGGCTTGCTGCCATAATGCACTCCATTTTTAATATTTTGGTAAAAACGTTCTGGTATTTGTGCACATCTTCTCCATTGCCTCTGTTGAGCTTGTTAGATGCATTTACTCATCTGTGTAACCACAGTCAGCATCTTACGTCTTTGCTTGAGGTGGCAGGTCTTGAGCTGTAGAAGTTTGAGGTGATATCTTTGTCCAGTCTGTTGATTCCTTCTTTTGGGTTGTAGAGAAAAAAGGGGGTTCGGGTGCACAAGAATGTTATGTAATATAATACAAGAGTAGAGCTAAGCTTGCTAACAGCATAACTGTCGGGGAGGGGAGAGGGCAAGACCATTGTTTTCTGGGTTGATACTGTTTGCCATCACTGTGTAGTGCTGACCTGGGAGGATGTTTATATTATATGGTTTACAGAAATGTTATGATGCTAGATGTGATTGCATTATGTTGATGTTATTGCCATTGAGGTGAGTGTCAGTGATGTCATCATATGACACCATCTTTACCGAGTGTTTGCCCTTCCCTATCTTATCTCTGTATGTTCGCGCTGCTCGGGCCTGCCCTCACAAATTTCAATGGCTGCTGCTGATGTTGATGATGATGATGCATCGTCATTTCCCCTCAATGCACCACCACCACCACCGGCTGCATCACCCCCACGCTGCTGACCTGTGACCTGTGTGTGGCATTCTGTGTGAATGCTGTTGCTGCTGCTGCTGATGATGACTGGCTGGCTACCTGGGCTTGTCTGCAGGAGCACGGAGAGAGTGGAGGGGTTGGAAGAGGAGAAGAGAAGTCAATAGAGGATGATGAAGACGGACATCTCATCTATAGGGCTGGGGACATGCTGCAGGCTCGATGTAATCATATACCCTATCCTCCTTGTTGTAATGTCTCACATTTGATTGTTGCTGCTGTCTCATGATCTTTGATTTATGACCTCTCACATTTGATTGTTGCTGTTTTCTCATGATCTTTGCTCTGTAAATTTATTGATGACCTCCCACATGTACGTTCCTCTCTTTGTCTTGTCTCTTGGACTACTGCAGCTCTTAGATTAGTCACATACATCATTCTCATCTCTTCTCTCTGGACATTGCTGCTTCTCTCTGCCAGTGGTGTGTGTGTGTGTGTCCAACAGGCTTGTTCCACATGCCCATGCAGTTGCCTAGACTGGCACCATTGATGGAGTTATCTTATTGGTTCATTACGTACATGGCTATCAACAGATAGTCCTAGTTCAGTAACTTGGGCTTGCTCGTGGACAGATGTGGAACACGTTTGTTGTTTGTTTGAATGATGTTCTTGTCTTAGTCAGCTCTGTATTGCAATTTTCTCATTCTTCTGTATAAACATTCTCTAGTGCATTTGGTTAAAATGATTGTTACTCAAAGTGCATTAAAATTAACACCACACACACACACTTGCTAGCCAGCCCAGTCTCACAGGGACTGTGTAAGGATCCTAGTCCTGGTATACAGCAACTGAAAACATTTTTGTCTAATTACTGCACATCATTTGACTTGGACACTGTGTGTGATTCACTTGACTAGGACACTAACTTGACTTGGACACTAGTGTGTGGTTCACTTGGCTGGGACAATTTGACTAACTTGACTGGGACACTAAAGTGTGATTCACTTGGCTGGGACAATTTGACTAACTTGACTAGGACACCAAAGTGTGATTCACTTGACTGGGACACTGTGATTCACTTGACTGGGACACTGTGATTCACTTGACTGGGACACTGTGATTCACTTGACTGGGACACTGTGATTCACTTGACTGGGACATTAGAGTGTGATTTACTTGACTGGGACATTAGAGTGTGATTTACTTGACTGGGACATTAGAGTGATTTACTTGACTGGGACACTAGTGTGTGATTTACTTGACTGGGACACTAGTGTGTGATTTACTTGACTGGGACACTAGTGTTTGATTCACTTGACTGGGACACTGTGTCTAACTTGACTGGGACACTAGAGTGTGATTCACTTGACTGGGACACTAGTGTGTGATTTACTTGACTGGGACACTGTGACTAACTTGACTGGGACACTAGAGTGTGATTCACTTGACTGGGACATTAGAGTGTGATTTACTTGACTGGGACGCCTGTGTTTTTCACTTGACTGGGACGCCTGTGTTTTTCACTTGACTGGGACACTGGTGTGACTCACTTGACTGGGGAACCAGGAATGTGTCAGATGTGATAGTCTTATTTTCATAACTGGAGACCAGGAATATGTGACCACTCTAATATGCTTATCTAGAGCACAAGTCACACGTAACATGTGCAGATGTGGTCTTATGACTGAACACCAGATACACTTTAGCCTGCTAGGATGTCCACTTAGGTAGGCACGAGACTGAAGTGGTGTGTCACACACACACACAGTCATTGGATGGCCATTTTATTATTGGTTTACTACATGTACACAGTCACACAGACACACACACACAGGCTGTTGTATGTTCCAGCAGTACATGAGTGAGGTGCTGGGACAGACAGTCCATACTGTGGCCATATGGCCCGCCACAAGTCTGTAGTCAGCTATTCTAATGTAGCACTTGATGTCACTTGAGCAGGCACATGTTTACAGTTTGAAGATTGGTTAACTTCTCTGTCTCACAGTTGTCTGCTTGTTTCTCTCGACCTTTTCTCTCTTGCACACACAAGACTAGTCTCTCACTGCCGCTTGTTTGTCATTTTTCAGATGAAATCGTCAAAACCCTAGGAGAAGGGACTTTTGGCAAGGTTGTCGAATGCAAGGACATCCACAAGTGAGTTCTGTCAGTTTTACTAGAAGGTTCTTTGTACAATTTTCATCTTTGTCTTCTTATCCATTGAAGATGTAAATGCACTGCACCTGAAACGGCCTCAGTATTTGCGCTTTTAGGCAGACACATCTTCTGACCTCTGTTGCCATTTCCGATTAGTTTCATATGACATCAAAGTCCTTATTGGGTGGTTATTTCTGTTTCCCAGTTCACAGTTGGTGTCCTTATTGGGTGGTTATTTCTGTTTCCCAGTTCACAGTTGGTGTCCTTATTGGGTGGTTATTTCTGTTTCCCAGTTCACAGTTGGTGTCCTTATTGGGTGGTTATTTCTGTTTCCCAGTTCACAGTTGGTGTCCTTATTGGGTGGTTATTTCTGTTTCCCAGTTCACAGTTGGTGACTACACCAGGTGGGTCCAGGGCAGCTATGTAATGCTGTTACTCCTGCTAGAAGAATTTGCCACCTGGGACTTAACATCGTTTCTACTACTTCCTGTAGTATGTCTTGTTTCAACAGAAGCTGTGTGGGTGGCTTGTATTACCCATGCTGCATTGCTGGTGAGCTAATGAGTACCAGAGGTTTTCCCACCTGACAACAATAGGTAGCGATGGGTTGAAATCTATCAGTGTTGTGTCTACCTGACAACAATAGGTAGCGATGGGTTGAAATCTATCACTGTTGTGTCTACATGACAACAATAGGTAGCAATGGGTTGAAATCTATGTGTTGCACCTACCTGACAACAATAGGTAGCGATGGGTTGAAATCTATCAGTGTTGCACCTACCTGACAACAATAGGTAGCGATGGGTTGAAATCTATCAGTGTTGCACCTACCTGACAACAATAGGTAGCAATGGGTTAAAATCTATCACTGTTGTGTCTACCTGACAACAATAGGTAGCGATGGGTTGAAATCTATCAGTGTTGCGCCTACCTGACAACAATAGGTAGCAATGGGTTAAAATCTATCACTGTTGTGTCTACCTGACAACAATAGGTAGCAATGGGTTGAAATCTATCACTGTTGTGTCTACCTGACAACAATAGGTAGCAATGGGTTAAAATCTATCACTGTTGTGTCTACCTGACAACAATAGGTAGCGATGGGTTGAAATCTATCACTGTTGTGTCTACATGACAACAATAGGTAGCAATGGGTTAAAATCTATCACTGTTGTGTCTACCTGACAACAATAGGTAGCGATGGGTTGAAATCTATCAGTGTTGCACCTACCTGACAACAATAGGTAGCGATGGGTTGAAATCTATCACTGTTGTGTCTACCTGACAACAATAGGTAGCGATGGGTTGAAATCTATCAGTGTTGCGCCTACCTGACAACAATAGGTAGCAATGGGTTGAAATCTATCACTGTTGTGTCTACCTGACAACAATAGGTAGCGATGGGTTGAAATCTATCACTGTTGTGTCTACATGACAACAATAGGTAGCAATGGGTTAAAATCTATCACTGTTGTGTCTACCTGACAACAATAGGTAGCGATGGGTTAAAATCTATCACTGTTATGTCTACCTGACAATAGGTAGCGATGGGTTGAAATCTATCAGTGTTGCACCTACCTGACAACAATAGGTAGCGATGGGTTGAAATCTATCACTGTTGTGTCTACCTGACAACAATAGGTAGCGATGGGTTGAAATCTATCAGTGTTGCGCCTACCTGACAACAATAGGTAGCAATGGGTTAAAATCTATCACTGTTGTGTCTACCTGACAACAATAGGTAGCGATGGGTTGAAATCTATCACTGTTGTGTCTACATGACAACAATAGGTAGCAATGGGTTAAAATCTATCACTGTTGTGTCTACCTGACAACAATAGGTAGCGATGGGTTGAAATCTATCAGTGTTGCGCCTACCTGACAACAATAGGTAGCAATGGGTTAAAATCTATCACTGTTGTGTCTACATGACAACAATAGGTAGCAATGGGTTGAAATCTATCACTGTTGTGTCTATATAACAATAGGTAGCGATGGATTACAGTCTATCACTGTTGTGTCTACATGACAACAATAGGTAGTTATGGGTTGAAATCTATCACTGTTGCGTCTACCTGACAACAATAGGTAGTGATGGGTTGAAATCTAACAACAATAGGTAGCAATGGGTTGAAATCTATCACTGTTGTGTCTGCATGACAATAGGTAGTGATGGGTTGAAATCTATCACTGTTGTGTCTACATGACAACAATAGGTAGTGATGGGTTGAAATCTATCACTGTTATGTCTACATGACAACAGGAGGTAGGAATGGGTTGAACTGACGGCTTATTACCTTACATGCCTTCTATTGGATCTTATCTGTTGGACCATATATGTGTCATTGTGTAAATTGATGCTTGTCAGCATGTTGATTTGGATATCTTATAGTATTTTCAAGAGACTATGCCAGTTTGTTGTTTGTGTGTCTGCTGTACATGGTTGACTTGTGTCTGTGATGTGATATCTGTCACCAGCAATCCTCTATCTCTGTGTGTTGTTAGTATCTCTGTGAAAAATCTAGTTTCAGTAGACAACTTGAATTGTTGGGATAGTTCTGTTATCTGTAGAAATCAGGAATACACCCTGCAGCTGTGTGAGGGATGAAGAGATAGATTTGCAGTCAACTCCAGGGCTAGGGGAACACCACAATCCATGTGTCAGTCTATCTGCTATCCGTGGGTGTTTGCAAAGAGTGTGGCGCATGAAGGTGTGGTTGTGTTAGCCTTGTATACACTATATATAATGGGGATATTGTGTCTGTTTGCAGGGGCAGTAACCGGCTAGCCCTGAAGATCATCAAGAATGTAGACAAGTACAGGGAGGCTGCCAAGTTGGAGATCAATGTGCTGGAGAAGCTGCGAGAACGGGACCCTGTGGGAAAATAGTAAGTTCCTGTCTTGATTGTCTGTCTATGCCATGAATGTGTGTGTGTGCACATTGTCTGTATGCCATGAACGTGTGTGTGTGCACATTGTCTGTATGCCATGAATGTGTGTGTGTGCACATTGTCTGTATGCCATGAATGTGTGTGTGCACATTGTCTGTATGCCATGAATGTGTGTGTGTGTGTGCACATTGTCTGTATGCCATGAATGTGTGTGTGTGCACATTGTCTATGTTTGACATGATTATGTTGATGCTTTGTGACCAGGAGATTTTAATTTGCTACATTTTATGTGAGCCAGTTTAGCGACTGGGGTTCCTGGCCTGTGTCCCCTGGTTCAAACCCCAAAACTAGAGTTGTAATAGCAGATCACCACAGGCATGAGCAGGGCTGCCTCACCTCTGTTAAGTGCTGGCCTGTAGTCTGCATCAGTATTGCCAACATACCTGTCCTGTTGAGTGCTGGCCTGTAGTCTGCATCAGTATTGCCAACATACCTGTCCTGTTGAGTGCTGGCCTGTAGTCTGCATCAGTATTGCCAACATACCTGTCCTGTTGAGTGCTGGCCTGTTGTCTGCATCAGTATTGCCAACATGCCTGTCCTGGCAGGGTGACCTGAGCACAACAAGGAGGATTTCATTGGACAGCTCATTCATTCCAGCCGTGGGCAACAGAATTGACACCAGGCAGTAGACTGCACCATTATGGCAAGAAACATGACATGTGTAGTTGTGGTCAGCATTGTTGTCTGTGTGATTGTATATGGATGACAACTGGCTAGTTTTGATGTCTCTGTATGTCTGTGATTGTATATGGATGACAGCTGGCTAGTTTTGATGTCTCTGTATGTTGTCTACAGCTTGTGCGTGCAGATGCTGGACTGGTTTGACTACCATGGACACATGTGTATTGCCTTTGACATGTTGGGCCTCAGCGTCTTTGATTTCCTGGTAAGTACACACACCCTGTTGTTAGTGAGAGGCTGGCACTTGTAGCAATACAGACTGTTAGATTCTTCATTAAGTTGCCATTTTACACCAGAAGTTATTGATCTTCCGGTTAAATATGGCAATGCGGTGTGTACGTTTTTCTTGCATGTATTATTTAGTCTAAGCAATAGAAATTCATTCACCTGGGTCTAGATAATTGTGCCAGAATGTGGGGCCAGGAAGAAAACTTGCTCCAGATAATTGCTGTGCACAATGGAGTTTCTTGCATTTGAGCTGCAACCTACTTTGGTTGTTTTCATTAGCGTATGGTGTTTTTTCTATCTCTCAATTTCCAATGGCGATCAGCAAGTGTGTAGCGAAGCTGGTAAGACTTTTACCTGGGCATGCTTTCTCAGTGACTGCTCAAGAAGATCGAGAAGCGTTGCATACAGAGACAATAGGAGTCCTTGAATAGATTTAGGCTAACAAAAATCAGTTTCATGTTTGTTCTTGGCAATTCTCGTGTAAAGGGCAATGAATGAGCTCACAGACTTGCAAATGAGGCTCACATGGAAAACAGGACAAGCAATTTACATGGATGGGTGTACTAAATGCCCTCAGAAAGGCGGCTCTATTAAATCAATCAAGTAATGATTGTGAATCTGCAACACCAACAAGACTATACATGAACATAACATCAAAAGGGGTGAAACCAGACAGGAGTGCTAAGAAGAATAGTAAACAAATACAGAACTGTCGTAAGCCACTACAGACTGAGAAACAGAAGAGGGGTTTTGAACACTTATGGACTGAATGGTTTGATGTGCCATGATGATCTGTCGACTAACCAACCAACCAGATGTGCCATGATGACCTGTCGACTAACCAACCAACCAACCAGATGTGCCATGATGATCTGTCGACTAACCAACCAACCAGATGTGCCATGATGATCTGTCGACTAACCAACCAACCAGATGTGCCATGATGATCTGTCGTCTAACCAACCAACCAGATGTGCCATGATGATCTGTCGACTAACCAACCGACCAGATGTGCCATGATGATCTGTCGTCTAACCAACCAACCAGATGTGCCATGATGATCTGTCGACTAACCAACCAACCAGATGTGCCATGATGATCTGTCGACTAACCAACCAACCAGATGTGCCATGATGATCTGTCGTCTAACCAACCGACCAGATGTGCCATGATGATCTGTCGACTAACCAACCAACCAGATGTGCCATGATGATCTGTCGACTAACCAACCGACCAGATGTGCCATGATGATCTGTCGACTAACCAACCAACCAGATGTGCCATGATGATCTGTCGACTAACCAACCGAACAGATGTGCCATGATGATCTGTCGACTAAACCAACCAACCAGATGTGCCATGATGATCTGTCGACTAACCAACCAACCAGATGTGCCATGATGATCTGTCGACTAACCAACCAACCAGATGTGCCATGATGATCTGTCGACTAACCAACCAACCAGATGTGCCATGATGATCTGTCGACTAACCAACCAACCAGATGTGCCACGATGATCTGTCGTCTAACCAACCAACCAGATGTGCCACGATGATCTGTCGACTAACCAACCGACCAGATGTGCCATGATGATCTGTCGACTAACCAACCAACCAGATGTGCCATGATGATCTGTCGACTAACCAACCAACCAGAAGTTAATTGTGCTTGAGATAGTGATGTGAACATTGAACACACATAATAGATAAAGCATCTTGCTGAGGTGGAATCATCATCTAGTTAATACCCTGAAGTTAAAACACATATGACCTACAATCTGAACCTCATAGATGTTTATGTCTTTATAGTACCACTAGACTGAATTGCCAGGCTTTGCCCGGGACAGTGAAAGACAGTCTTGTTCTCTGGTCCTATACCTCATCTTGGTCTCTGTGGCTGCTGTACATGTAGGCCTAGTTGAAATAGAGGTCTAACTAAAACTTTATTTCAAATATCCTCTCTTCTACATCAGCCCTGTCTCCACTGCTGATGTATCTTTCAAGTCATTTCCCCTAAGTTCACCTGAGGCATTTAACACCAGCAGTATTTACAAATATATTGTCTGGCTGATATAGATATGTGGTTTCAAAAGTTTTCTTCTACTACTTATCGCAATAAATAATGATTATGCACAATAATCTGTGGCTGAAACATTTAGTCATAACATAACTGACAATTAACCTGATTATTAGTCAGTTTGGAAGGAGTTAACACTTATTTATAATATACACTAAAATACAGAAAAGGTTAGTGATTTATAGGATAGGTAAAGGATATATCCTGGTCTAAATCTGATCTCTTCACCCTGTACTGAGTCTGTGTGTTCAGTTGCCTTGTTTTGTGTGTCAGTATCAAGTGCTGGTTAAGAGCAGCATTAATAAACTGTAATGATGTTGCAGAAAGAAAACAACTATGTGCCATACAGCTTGGAGCAGGTGCGACATATATCCTACCAGTTGTGTTACGCTGTCAACTGTAAGTAGCTAGTTGTGCTGTCAGTCAGCTTCATGTTTATGTGCTTTTAGCAAACTGATATCCCCCCTGTGTGGGTTCTGAGGATTTCGGAGAGGAAAATAAAAGACACCTCCACTTCCCAAGAAGCATGTGATAAACTGTGGTGTCCTTTAAAATCAGAATATCTGCCTGAGACCGGCAAGGAACCAACAGTCTGCATACATATAATGCAGGTCAGAAAGTGTTCACAAAACTGAAGCTCTGGAACAAGACCAAAGTCCAGAAGTGGATGTACAACCAGAACTTTCAGCTATAGCCAAGAAGCAGCAGCTCTGTTGATATCAAGGCACAGCTGAGTTTTTCCCTGGAGATTACAAGCGATGAACAAGAAGAAGAAATATTGTGTGTGCTGATAGCTCAGGTGTATGGCCTAGAACATAGAGCACAATTAAATGTTATTAACACTAGAGATGTGAATGTTGTTTCTAGCCCAGTAAACATGTACTCATTGATCTCTGTCTTTCTCACAGTTCTCCATGAAAACCAGCTGACCCACACTGACCTCAAGCCTGAGAATGTTCTGTTTGTGAACTCTGACTATGATACCTACTACAACGCCAAGAAGGTAGGGCCTATTGCCCACATGTTGTGTAGTGAGTGTGTGTAAGTGTGGCTGGTATTTGTGTGTAATATGTCTCAGGTTTAGACTCTAGTGAAGCACCTATAGTTAGAAACACCTGTTAGTTTTTTTCACTTGTTAGTTATAATGACTTGTTATAAACACTTGCAGGCATACCCGTATAGTTTTTTTTTACTGTAACCGAATTACATATTTGATGATAATCTGTTACAGAAGAGAGAGGAAAGGCGTATCAAGAACACCGAGATCAAACTGATAGATTTTGGGTCTGCCACATTTGACCACGAACATCACAGCACCATTGTCTCCACCAGGCACTACAGGGCACCCGAAGTCATTTTAGGTAGGTGCTGTTTCTCTGATCCTATATACATGTAAGTACGTCATTTATCAGTCACTGACACAACTACTGGCAGACAGAAATGGTATCAGAGCTTGTGTTGTTCATTCAGGCATTTATAAATGCAAGAGGCATACAGATGACCAGACTGTCTTGTGAGGTGTACACTGCATGGATTGGTGGATTCCAGGAGCAGAACAACTACTGCTACAGTCTGGTGTCAGCAGCACAGACAGAAACGGTTATCTTGACAGCCATAGGTACCAGACATGCAGGCACAACTGTACACACAAGAACTCTGACAGGATTGACTGGAACATCTTCCTTAAGCTGTAGCCTGTCTGTTCAACAATGGGGTGTATCCCCAGGCACCCACCAGCATCAGCAATTTCCCTGTATCTTGTGAAGCAGATATTGGCCCCTGGAAAATGCACATTCCTCTACGGCCATGCATTTCTGCAGCAGCTGTGTTAAGTACTGATTCATTAGATCTTCTCCCTTCAGACCAGGATCTCTGTGGACTGCAGCTTCACATACCATCATGTTTAGGATGGGAACTGAGTAGATGACAGTGTTGAAGTTACATTTGTGATTTGTTTTTTATTGTAAAAAATATTTGTGTGTGACTGAAGAGAACAAGATTGTAATGGAACTGTGTGTTTTCAGAACTTGGATGGTCACAGCCCTGTGATGTCTGGAGCATCGGCTGTATCATGTTTGAGCTCTACACTGGCTATACGCTCTTCCAGGTAAGCAACAACCGCTCTGCTCCACTTACTATGTCTTTATTGGGGCTCGTATGTTAGGGTGCTTGGTATCTGAAACCCCACCCCTGCATCTTGTCCTGTATGCCCATGACAGTGTATATAATACATATGTGAATGGCTACAGTGTCCAGATATAGGCAATCGGCTTGAGTGCTGCGTCGCATGATCACGAAAAGATTTTTGTCTGTTTTCCCTTATAAACCGATACAGATCTCAGAGAACAGAGGTGAGTTGGTCTGTCTCCCCATATGACCTGATACAGGGGACTGGAAACTCAGATGAGCGTTTAGACCTGCTTCAAAGTCGGAGTGCATCTGCCTGAGAGGCAAGGAATCAACATTCTGCATATGAATTGGGCATCTCTAAAACAGATGCGCATGCATGTAATATTATATAATGTAAGTTCTTGAACAAGATTAAAGCCTAAAAGTAGACGAACAACTAGCGTTGCACCCGATGAATGCAACTGGTGACCAACTAGGTCATAAAGCCACTGTTGCTGGGCATGGCCTGGGAAGGACTGTTGTTATACCATACACAACAATAGGGGGACAACAACGTAAATTAGTTATGTGGTCTGTTGTACCATACACAGCAATAGGAGGACAAGAGCGTAAACTAGTTATGTCGTCTATTGTACCATACACAACAATAGGAGGACAACAGCATAAAATAGTTATGTGGTCTGTTGTACCATACACAACAATAGGAGGACAAGAGCATAAACTAGTTATGTTGTCTGTTGTACCATACACAACAATAGGAGGACAACAGCGTAATCTAGTTATGTGGTCTGTTGTACCATACACAACAATAGGACAACAGCATAAACTAGTTATGTGGTCTGCTGTACCATACACAACAATAGGAGGACAAGAGCGTAAACTAGTTATGTGGTCTGCTGTACCATACACAACAATAGGAGGACAACAGCGTAAACTAGTTATGTGGTCTGCTGTACCATACACAACAATAGGAGGACAAGAGCGTAAACTAGTTATGTGGTCTGCTGTACCATACACAACAATAGGAGGACAAGAGCATAAACTAGTTATGTTGTCTGTTGTACCATACACAACAATAGGAGGACAACAGCGTAAACTAGTTATGTGGTCTGTTGTACCATACACAATAGGAGGACAAGAGCGTAAAATAGTTATGTGGTCTGTTGTACCATACACAATAGGAGGACAAGAGCGTAAAATAGTTATGTGGTCTGTTGTACCATACACAATAGGAGGACAAGAGCGTAAAATAGTTATGTGGTCTGTTGTACCATACACAACAATAGGAGGACAAGAGCATAAACTAGTTATGTTGTCTGTTGTACCATACACAACAATAGGAGAACAGCGTAAACTAGTTATGTCGTCTGCTGTACCATACACAACAATAGGAGGAGAACAGCGTAAACTAGTTATGTGGTCTGTTGTACCATACACAACAATAGGAGGACAATAGCGTAATGTTGTCTGGAGACATGTGAAACTCAAAAAGCTGGTTATGAAATCAGTCAACATTCTGTGGGCATGTGGTGAGACAAGTTGACAGCAACAAAGCTATGGTGCAGGAGGTCACGTCAGATCACAACCTTCTGTCTCACTTAGTGTCACTCATATCTTATACATTCTTCCAGGCCATGACAGCTACATGTCCAGCATCTGCTGCGGCCCCCCTTTCCATCAGACTCTTGTTCTGATTACCCCATTTGTTTCATCCTTCCATTTCCAGGGTAATCTTCACAACACTTGTCTACACATGATTCTTTGAGCAGACCATAACTCTGCACCCTGCACATAGTGTCTTGCTGGGCCACAGACACCTGAGGACACGTGTCCTTGTTGCTGGCCTCATGGTCTGTCTCTAGAATGCCTGTATAATAGTATATGACAATCACAATAACAAGACTGCTGAGATGATGTCTTTGTGTGTTGTTGTTTGTAGACACATGACAACAAAGAGCACCTGGCGATGATGGAGAGAATCCTGGGGACCCTACCATACCGCATGACCAAGAAGTCCAAGTGAGTGTTCTTTTTTCACAGTCAGTGTCTCCATGGAGAGAGAGTGAGTTATTATGTATGTGTGGGACCTCTCTGCTGCTGGCTTGCCATGCCATCTGATACCAGAGATCAGTTATTATGATACACCTAGTGGCAGGGTGTTGCTGATATACTAGTGGCAGGGTGTTGCTGATACACTAGTGGCAGCGTGTTGCTGATACACTAGTGGCAGGGTGTTGCTGATATACTAGTGGCAGGGTGTTGCTGATACACTAGTGGCAGGGTGTTGCTGATATACTAGTGGCAGGGTGTTGCTGATACACTAGTGGCAGGGTGTTGCTGATACACTAGTGGCAGGGTGTTGCTGATACACTAGTGGCAGGGTGTTGCTGATATACTAGTGTCAGGGTGTTGCTGATATACTAGTGTCAGGGTGTTGCTGATATACTAGTGGCAGGGTGTTGCTGATACACTGGTGGCAGGGTGTTGCTGATACACTAGTGTCAGGGTGTTGCTGATACACTAGTGGCAGGGTGTTGCTGATACACTGGTGGCAGGGTGTTGCTGATACACTGGTGGAAGGGTGTTGCTGATACACTAGTGGCAGGGTGTTGCTGATACACTAGTGGCAGCGTGTTGCTGATACACTAGTGGCAGGGTGTTGCTGATATACTAGTGGCAGGGTGTTGCTGATACACTAGTGGCAGGGTGTTGCTGATATACTAGTGTCAGGGTGTTGCTGATATACTAGTGTCAGGGTGTTGCTGATATACTAGTGGCAGGGTGTTGCTGATATACTAGTGGCAGGGTGTTGCTGATACACTAGTGGCAGGGTGTTGCTGATACACTAGTGGCAGGGTGTTGCTGATATACTAGTGGCAGGGTGTTGCTGATATACTAGTGGCAGGGTGTTGCTGATACACTAGTGGCAGGGTGTTGCTGATATACTAGTGGCAGGGTGTTGCTGATACACTAGTGGCAGGGTGTTGCTGATACACTAGTGGCAGGGTGTTGCTGATATACTAGTGGCAGGGTGTTGCTGATATACTAGTGGCAGGGTGTTGCTGATACACTAGTGGCAGGGTGTTGCTGATACACTAGTGGCAGGGTGTTGCTGATACACTAGTGGCAGGGTGTTGCTGATACACTGGTGGCAGGGTATTGCTGATACACTGGTGGCAGGGTGTTGCTGATACACTGGTGGCAGGGTGTTGCTGATACACTGGTGGCAGCGTGTTGCTGATACACTGGTGGCAGCGTGTTGCTGATACACTAGTGGCAGGGTGTTGCTGATACACTAGTGGCAGCGTGTTGCTGATATACTAGTGGCAGGGTGTTGCTGATATACTAGTGACAGGGTGTTGCTAATACACTAGTGGCAGCGTGTTGCTGATATACTAGTGGCAGGGTGTTGCTGATACACTAGTGGCAGGGTGTTGCTGATACACTAGTGGCAGGGTGTTGCTGATACACTAGTGGCAGTGTGTTGCTGATACACTAGTGGCAGGGTGTTGCTGATACACTAGTGGCAGCGTGTTGCTGATACACTAGTGGCAGGGTGTTGCTGATACACTAGTGGCAGGGTCTTGTTGACTGCCTCTCTGACCAGTATGCCAGTCTGTATGGACCATTACCCTGCCTTTCAGGTGACAGTGGGTGCACCATGGCTGACTTGGTCAGGGAAATGGCTCAGGTTGAGGTAGATTTCTTAATTCATGTTTGGTTATTGATTTTTGTTTTTGTGAGTCTGTGTATACGGACATGAATGTCACCATAATTGGTTGTCTGATGTGTTGATGACCTCAGTGTCTAGTGTGTAACTGTGATGTATGGGTGAGTAGCTGATGTATGCGTGTCAGTGATTCTCTCTGTGACTCAAGCCAACCTTATCATAAACAGTTCTCAATCAGGGGCAGGATGACCTTCTCTGGCCTCTGAGTGACTCTGGCATCTGTGGTAATGTGTGTCCCCGTGGTCACTGTTGGAATGTTTGCTGGGTACTGCAAGTCCATGAAACTATCTAACCTGTGTCCCAGGTGGTCACTATTCGAATGTTTGCTGGGTACTGCAAGTCCATGAAACAATCTCACCTGTGTCCCAGTGGTCACTGTTGGAATGTTTGCTGGGTACTGCAAGTCCATGAAACAATCTCACCTGTGTCCCAGTGGATGCCATTTGTCTGGGTCTGCAGCTGTTTATTGTGCTGACATCCATAGGTGGCATTGACTTGTGACTTTGTGCTGTGCGTCTCTCTCCCAGCTCTGGGTCAAGTTTATCATCTGTGACTAAGTGGTGTGTGTCTCACTCTCCCAGTCCTGGGTCAAGTATATCATCTGTGACTAAGTAGTGTGTGTCTCACTCTCCTAGTCTGGGTCAAGTATATCATCTGTGACTAAGTGGTGTGCGTCTCTCTCTCTCTCTCTCTCTCTCTCTCTCTCTCTCTCTCTCTCTCTCTCTCTCTCTCTCTCTCTCTCTCTCTCAGTCCTTGGTTTATGGCTCTCGTGTTGCATCAAGGATATCATCTGTGACTTTGTGATGTCTCTCCCTGCCCTAATCTGTCCTTCCAGTTTTATGTATTGACTTTGTTTGAGAGTTGTCGGTGACTGTTTTTGTGAGTGTACTGACTACAGACTGTAACTGTCAGCTGTTTGTGTGTATTGGTTGATGTTTTCATGAATATCACCCCATTCAACTAGAACCAAGCACTTCTGGCATGGTCGACTGGACTGGGATTCCAATTCTTCTGCTGGCCGTTATGTTAGAGAGAATTGCAGACCTCTTTCTGTGAGTTGATGTCCCAGCCTGCATGACTGTGGCATCTCTTGTAGAGCTTGTTGTCTGTGTCACCTGGTCGTGCATGTGCCCAGGGCTGGCTGGCTGAGGGCACCTGATGCTGATGACTGCTGCCTCACTGGTTCATCTCCTGCTCCTCTCCCTTTGTTCCATGTCAAACCAGTGTGTTGGCAAATGAGCAGGCAGATAGACTGGCCAGTTCTGCACCACTTGGTGGTGAATTGATGTATGGCAAGCTAGATGTTGTGAGGGCCCTCTAAGAGCGAGTTAAGTGTGGAATTGCAAATAGATTATTACAGTGTGAGGAGAATGGCACTGCAAAAGGTTACCAGGGGATCTGGCCGACAGTTGTGTTAGCTCCAGCAGTCAGCCAGTCCTCACATATGCCTGCCTGTTGTTGGTACAGCTTACCCTAGACCATCTGTGCTCAGTTCTGTCTCCTCTAGCAGTCAGCCAGTCCTTCAATTCAATGTTTTTTGTGCCAAGAAAATCAGCTTGTTTCTTTATTTGCTAGTCTTAGCCCACTGTAGACATGAATATTGTTATTTGATAGGAAAGTGTCAGCGCCGTCTACAGGTGTGCCCACTGACACTTTCTCGAATTGGTACCTGTTGTATGGATGTTGCATGCTGCATGCTTTTTTTCACATTTCTAAGTTTTGGTTTTGTATTCTCTTTTTTACCCCCTGTTCACTTGTGTTGCTGTTTTGCTGTGCTGACAATTGATTGCTGCTGCTGCTACCACCACTGCTGCCACATGACACCTGATTGTGGGACTCACTGCACGCATGATCCATGTTCTGTGTACAGGAAGCAGAAATATTTCTACCGAGGATGTTTGGACTGGGATGAGAAGTCATCAGCTGGTAGATATGTACGTGATACTTGCAAGCCACTGCGGGTAAGCCAGCATCTCCACTTGGCCACACGCCACTGATTGGTGACCTCTTGTTAGATGTATTGTCAGCCTCTCCCCAGCTTTTGTCTCAGTAGGAAAGTGGTCTTAGCTGTGCAGTCCTAAGAAGCTGTTGCTATCCACTCCATCGTGAATACCTCAACAGATGTGATAATGTGCTAATGTATATCTACCACTAGTTCTGGCACTGGGTTTGTTTATATCTGTGTCCGCAGTGCCTGTATGTCTGCTCAGTGTGTACATACATACATAGAAACATACCTTGAGTTGACTAAGTGGATATACATTTCTCTCTTCATTGTAGGGCTGTACCGAATAGTGATTTTCACTATTCAACCGAATAGGAATAGCTGGATCAACTAATCGGCCGAATACGAATAGTGAATCATCATCATCAGGTGCTCTGCCGATTGGCATGGGGAGATCATGCCACAATCTGCGATCTCCTGCAGCATGTATTAGTTCGTGTGCTGACACACCTCCATGCCATGCGACACGACTGCCAAGAATCTTCTCATTGTCTTTCTCTATCCATCCTTCCACATATCTTTCCAGTGGTCACCACATGTTCCATTTTTCCCTCATCTTGTGTCTCCTGATGTCTTTAAGTAGTAGTCTTCTGGCTCCCACCTCTATGAAAACCTCTTGGTTGCTTTTGTGTGTGTGGCTGTCCAGGGTATTTTAAGCATTGTTCTGTGAAACCACATCTCTGAGGCCTCAAGAAATTGTTTGGCCTGCCTACCGATTGTCCAGGACTTACAGCCATGTTTATTTTTTTAAATGCAGTTTTTGCCTGTCCTATTGTGTTTCTTATTCAGTAATGCGTCTTCTACCTCATGTTATTCATGTGCCCAGATACTTAAATTTCTGTACTTTTCCCAAAATAAAACATTGATTTTTATTACACATTTAGGAATAATTATTTTCTTTGATACCACCATTACGTGTGTCTTCCCACTATTCAAACTGAGGCCCATTCTTTCGAATAGTGTATAAAATAGATCTAAAAAAAAAAACACACACACATCCATAATGTCAAATGACAAGTAACTAAACTTGTAAATTGTCACTGACAGCTTAGTCAATCCATGAAAGCAACATTAGCTTTCCAAAAAAAAAAAAAAATTGTTCAATGTCAGCATTAAGGTAGCTTCTTGTCTCACTGAAGGTATTTCCAGCTGTGCTAAACAGACGTTCACTTGGTTCGCTCGTAGGTGGTGCACAAAGATAACGCTTGACAGTATGAACCAAGGTGGGAAATCTTGATATGTTTATTTTCCACCAGTCCAGAAAGGGTTGTAAGGTAACCACTATTTGTATTCGGCCACACCGCAACTATTCGACTGAATAGTTATTAGGTCCACTATTCGGCCCCGAAGTGAATATTCGGTACAGCCTACTACATAGTGAGCCTTTTCACCACATAATAAAGTTTGAATAGGCAGAATAATTACATGCTCTGCTCAGGTACACAAGTCTAAAGGCAGCAGGGTTAAACAAACACTGAAACTTTCGCTTAATCATCATTATTTATGTATATGCATTACACACTCACAGATGTACACATTTATCTTTACACACAACACACACACATATATATATATCTTATCCTGCTGGCACTTCACTGGTGTGTGTGAGATGTTGCACTCTTATCCTCCTGGCACTTGACTAGTGTGTGATAGAGAGAGAGAGAGAGATGTTGCACTCTTATCCTGCTGGCACTTCACTGGTCTGTGTGAGAGAGATGTTGCACTCTTATCCTGCTGGCACTTGACTAGTGTGTTTGGGAAGGATCTGATCTCTGACACTCAAGATATGTACACTTGAGCCATCCATGTATTCCCGTGACACCTGCCTGTGTGTGGTCCTCTACAGCTGGTCTGTGGCACAGTGGTTGATTCTGATCTTCCCCGTGTGGGTTCCGGGGAAAACAAGAATAGATCCTCTGCCTACCCAAAAGCATGTCGTAAGAGTCGACTAATTGGGGAGCTCCCTTTAACTCTACCAGTCCTGAACCCTGACTACCCACTATACCTGAGCTCCTGGGCATTAACTCTACCAGTCCTGAACCCTGACTACCCACTATACCTGAGCTCCTGGGCATTAACTCTACCAGTCCTGAACCCTAACTACCCACTATACCTGAGCTTCATGGCATTAGCGCGAAAAAACGTGATATACACAAATATTAGTTACATGCAAACAAGTGGCTAGGAAAAAAAAAAAAAGAAACTTCAAACATTGTAGATTTTAGGCTTACCTTTTATCTGGTGCCAATCCACTTAGGAGGGTCAGCCTTGTTTCACCACCAGATGTTGCTGTTTGAGGGACATGGCCCCTTTCTCCTAACAATTTCTAGAGCTCTCACTGACTGTGACACTTCAATTGTGAACCTATTCTTTATTAAATTATGACTGCAGAGTCTGAATAAACTAGAGTATCGATCACCTGTTGGACTGTAAAAAGCCTAGACCTACTTTACTTTCATGTTGACGTGCTTGGTTCATCAGCCGCTCATTTCATTGTAAATTTTCAGAATTCTTTCATGTAAAACACAACTTTAATCCGGTCTAGTAGAGTTAACTGATACATCACTAGAGACCTGTAGCCATGTATGTTTGCTTGACTGGTAGATTACTACACAACTATAGACATGTATGTTTTCTTGACTGGTAGATTACTACACAAACTATAGACATGTATGTTTTCTTGACTGGTAGATTACTACACAAACTATAGACATGTATGTTTTCTTGACTGGTAGATTACTACACAAACTATAGACATGTATTTCATTGCTGCTGTTTCCCTAGCTGCTTATACACACAACACATGTGAGCTGTTGACTGTTGTGTATCAGCAGCCAGGATTTGTTGTGTTCAATATAACATTCCAGTTTGTAGACTATAATTATAGCTGACAGCAGGTAATAGAAAACTGACACTTGCCAGCGATCAGAATAACAACTTAGCTACAGTTTGTAGATTTGATTGTCAGGATTGGTTCTGGGACACCTTCTGAAGGATAGGGTACTGACCACTGGATAGCTGTGTGTACATTATAATGTGTAGGGTCTGGGACACCATCTGAATTATAGGGTACTGACCACTGGGTAGCTGTGTGTACATTGTAATGTGAAGGTTGTGGGAGGCCTAGAGGAAAACAGCATCTGATCCGCTGCTCTTTGAAAAGGTAGCTCATTTGGGTTTGCTGAAATATGATCTGTCGGCCGAAAGATGCAGATATCACATTCTAGCTGTAACCACAACTTGTCTGCAACGAGAAACACTGCAGGCTTGTGCCCTGCTAGATGGTGATGACCTGGCAGGACTGTCTCAATGTTGACCTGTCTTGTAGCTATGTCTGTCATGTCACATTCCAAGTTTCACCTAGTGTGTCTATTTCTCTCGCCAGCGTTACATGAAAGATGCCGACAGTGAGGACCACGTGCATTTGTTTGAGCTGATTGCCAGACTACTGACTTACGAGCCTTCACAGAGGTACACCCTGCAGCAGGCTATGCGACACGACTTCTTCTTGCCGTACCAGCGGGACCAGTATCGTCATGACGACGAGCCTCAGTCGGACTCTGCCTCAGAACGCTGCCGTTCCCACAGCTTGAGCCGATGACGGTGCGATGCCCAGAACAACTCCAACCACGTAACTGCTGCCTCATTCTCTAGCAGACCTGCGGTGTACCCCTACCAGCCTCACGGCGGCCAGGATTTCAGCTCCAGTCATGACCATAGGAACAGTTACTACGATGACTGCCAGGACCATTACAGGAGCCACCAGCAATCGGACAACAGGGTCGGCTACCGCGACAGTCAGCCGGCTAGCAGTCAGCTGCAGTCCTACAGGACCAGCTACAGCCGGCCTGGCCTGCGGGCGCTAGAGGGCCACCAGCAGCAACTGTACCCGTCTTACCCCCAGCCTGGCAGCGGCAGTTACTGGATGTAGCCACCATTTCATCTGTGACATTCTTCAGATGACCTCAGGAGTTGTACTGGGCTTGCATTAGCTCATCTATTTGTGTGTGTGTGTGTGTCACCAGATGTTGTACAGGAACTTAACCCACCTGTGTGTGTCAAAGAGAAATGTGACACCACCTGTGTGGTATTGTGTGTGTGTCAGAGAGAGAAATGTGACACCACCTGTGTGGTATTGTGTGTGTGTGTGTCAGAGAGAGAAATGTGACACCACCTGTGTGGTATTGTGTGTGTGTCAGAGAGAGAAATGTGACACCACCTGTGTGGTATTGTGTGTGTGTCAGAGAGAGAAATGTGACACCACCTGTGTGGTATTGTGTGTGTGTCAGAGAGAGAAATGTGACACCACCTGTGTGGTATTGTGTGTGTGAGAGAGAGAGAAATGTGACACCACCTGTGTGGTATTGTGTGTGTGAGAGAGAGAGAAATGTGACACCACCTGTGTGGTATTGTGTGTGTGAGAGAGAGAAATGTGACACCACCTGTGTGGTATTGTGTGTGTAAGAGAGAGAAATGTGACACCACCTGTGGTATTGTGTGTGTAAGAGAGAAATGTGACACCACCTGTGTGGTATTGTGTGTGTAAGAGAGAGAAATGTGACACCACCTGTGTGGTATTGTGTGTGTAAGAGAGAGAAATGTGACACCACCTGTGTGGTATTGTGTGTGTAAGAGAGAGAAATGTGACACCACCTGTGTGGTATTGTGTGTGTAAGAGAGAGAGAGAGAGATGTGACACCACCTGTGAGGTATTGTGTGTGAGAGAGAAATGTGACACCACCTGTGTGGTATTGTGTGTGTAGAGAGAGAGATGTGACACCACCTGTGTTCTCAGCTGGTATAATGACCAGCACATTGGCATATGTATGTGCTGTGTGTATTATATAGGTGACACTCTCTGTTGTACATATTTGAGCTATTCTGTGTGTGTGTTTTGTGCTGGTATGTCAGCCTTACAGCTGCTGTTAGTTAGTGTTGATTTAGTGTACTTGATAT